GCAACTGCCCGACGGTATGCGGATTTACATCGACGGGATATTACAATGGCAGCTGGGCAACTGGTCCTGCTGGACACCAAGAATTTACGATTGCCACTACCGACAAAACTACGACCACGTTTGTGTGGCCCATTCAAGATCATGAAGATGGTGACGCCGGTGACCGCCCAGTTGCGCCTACCTTATGACTGGCGTATTCACAACAAGTTCCACGTGAGCCTATTGCGACCTTTCGAGCCTGGCACATCGGACATCGCCCGACAGCGATTGGTCCCAGATGTACGGCCACCAGCCGAAACGACCATCGAGCCTTCGATGATTTTGAGCCATCGGATTCGTATCGACGGTCAAGGCCGACACGTTGACTTTCTGATACGCTGGACCAATCGTACCAGTGAGGACGACACGTGGGTGCCCTCGGACCAGATACAGTCACCTTCGATACTTGCGAATTATTTGGCCCGCAAGCATGTGGCTGATATAGATCATCGTCGCTAAGGGGGGGGGGTGGTGTAAGGAAATTTCCATTCCTTACCGAGCGGTACTGCTATCGCATACGCTCGTACACACCCGAAGCCTCGGGACTGTTCCGGACCTTTTTGGTTCGACCTTCGGGAGTTCTGCGCGCCTCGCTTCGTCACTTCGCGGCCCTTCGATCGCTTTCCCGAACCTTCCCATCGCATGGTTAGACTAGCTCTGGTGTTCCTATATCTTGGCTTGCCATTCCTTGTATCGTCATTCAGTGAGTGAACATTTCATTATTCATTTCCGCGCTACTCTGCTTGTTCATTCATAATAGTGAATATCAAATTGCGCTACCCTATCCCGCGCACCGACAAGCGGATTGACGAACTTTACAAAGCTCGTTTCTTCTCGAAAATAGATTTATGAGGAGGTTTTGAGCGGGTCTAAATGCGAGTTTTTAAACGACCGCTTAGAATTTCTGAGACACTTTGAATCCACTAAGGGCGTCAAAGTGGACCCACGCACAAGCCTAACTACCGCCTAAGAACCCGCAGGAGCTTCAAATTTTTGTAGGATTCGTCAACTATGTTCGGCGATTTATCCCAAATATGGCGGGAGGAACTGTACCGTTAACTGACCTGCTGCGGAAGGGGACTGAGTATAGGTGGGGGGGGGAAGAGCAAGCTGCCTTCTCTACGCTCAAGACTTTTCTGTGCTCAGCCCCTGTCCTTCGCATCGCCGATCCTCACCGTCCATTCAAAGTGGCATCACCATCGGAGCAGCGCTGTTACAGGACTTCAGCGAAGGCCTGCAACCAATCGCGTACGAGTCGTGAAACTTGCACCTGCCCGAGCGAAATTATCTGATACACGACAAGGAGATGCTCGCGATCATGCACGCCTTCAAAGTGTGGCGGTGCTACCTGATGGGCGCATATGTGATAGTACGGACAGACCACCGAAGCCTACAGTACATTCGTGCACAGCCACTACTCAACCCACGGGAATTTCGGTGGTTGGATCTCATGGAGTCCAACTTCTACTACACACCTACATAAAAGGGACATCAAATATTGCAGACCCCCTTTCTCGCCCATCCGCTTATCTCAACTCCATCATCCTCGCAAAACCTTCTCGATATTAATAGGCCTATTTACCTACGCGTTCAGAGGGACATTTTCTTTACGACGAGTGTGTACGAACAGCTCGCAACGTCTAAGGGAGTCTATTATGTAAAGACAGGGAACGGCCGCATATGGTTACTAGAGTACAGTTTATCACGCGAGTTACTATTACAGGAAGCCCATGATAGCACCGTTTTGGGGCACTTGACAGCAGTTGACCAGATATTATTTAGGGCCTGACATGCAAGGGAACGTGCAGCAGCATGTGGTTTCGTGCAGGACCTGCCAAACCATGAAATCATCGAAGTAGAAGCCAACTGTGCATGGCAGCTCATGGTGATGGACTTCGTTATGGGACTGCTGCCAAGGATAGCTGTAAAGACGCGATATTTGTCGTCGTCGACAAGCTGACGAAGATGGCCCACTTCGCCGCCTGCAAGAAAGCATCTCAACAAAAGGAACTGTCTGCCTTTTCATCTCAACCGTTGTCCGCCTCCACGGAATCCCATCCGCCATCATTTCGGTTTGTGACACGAAATTCGCCAGTAATTTCTGACGCAACCTTTGGGAACAGTTTGGTACGCGCCTGCAATTCCGCCTACCACCCTGAGACTGACGGACAGACCGAACGGGCCAATCAAACGATGGAGGAGTTGATTCACGCCACCTACGACGACGTGGCCGATTGGGAGCAGCAGTTGCTACTAATTGAGTTCGCATATAATAACGCCCCGTCAGCCGCTATACGACAGTCACCATTCTACCATAATTACAAGCAGAACCCTATAGTACCGATCACGCCCAACATTGAAAATCATGTACCTCGAGCTCAACAATTCGCCGAGATATTACAGAATGCCCGGGAACGAGCGGCCAAAGCCATTAAGGGCGCAAATGTTATTTCTACAGTAAGCGCAACGCTGATACACACCGACGAGCAGTAACTTACCAGTCTGGAAACTTAGCAGTGCTCGACGCCCATAACCCTCGACTGCCCATCGTCCCAAAACCTCGCCCCTGCTATTGTGGACCATTTACCAGAAGTCACGTGATATCGTCCGTTACAACCCATCTATTGTTATCGGCCACCTGGAGCGTCAGCCTATCATTCCACGTGTGCTTACTTCGGCCATACATCGCCACCACTAGTAAATTACCACGTTAACGAGCGAGTATGAACATCCGACTGCTCGCCGAGCCTACGGTCGAACGTGCGAAGGTTCTCAGCCATCAGATGAAGGACCCTCGATGGGCTCGCCTGATCGAGTTTCTGATATCTTGGAGGGACCGGACGGCCCTAGTAAACAGTTGGGTGCCCTTGGCAGAGATTGAGAATTACCCGGTGTTACGAGTCTACCTCCAGTCACGCAATGTGCGCGACGTCGGCGGTCTTTGCTAAGACCATACATTGGAGGGGGGAGGGTGTAAGGAAATGGTATTTCGTTATGACTAGTTTCAGTTAGTAAGGCGTACAATGATATAACAGGGTTGTCGCGCAGCTCTGCCACGAAATTCAAATCCCGGTACCCAAATGTTGCCTCCTGACGAGCCGCATGCAATTTTCCCGCCTTGTTGTTTCATGCCTAGATCTGGGCGCTTCGCGCCAATTGAAGAACCACACGTCGCAGCTTTGCCGAGCCACGACCGTGTGCTCTAGGCTAGCTATATCCATGCTCCCTCCTGTTTTATTGTATCCTTTTACACAAGTTCTTTGAGCTTCATACATCCTGTATGAGCATTCTGGCAAGTATAGGTCCTTACGCTTGGTCGTTTGCACCTGCAACATTTACCCGCGGGCAGAAAAACAAAAACGAAAACCCATAGGGGACCTGCATGCGTTCAGGTATGGCAACATCCCTAAGGGCGTGTTTTTAGTTGGTGTCATCTTGAGATAGTGTTATTCAGGAAACATGGAAAAGCAATCACGTGCGATTTACTGAACATTTACAGCAGACGATTGGTTTCCAGCTTGGATGACACCAGTTCGGTATGACACCAATTAGAAACACGCTTGACTTGGGGACCCGTCCGGGCCCATGCCATCCCCGAACCCATGCCGGGCCGCCCTGGGTGCTGCTCGCCTGACCGGAGCCGCTGCGGCGCGGCTCGTCCTTTTCCCCTGGTGTTTCCGAACGTAAGGACCTATACTTCTCCAGACCCAACCCAGTTCATTCATGCTTGTGGTTTGTCGCCACCCTCAGGTCAAGCCTACTCTTGGCTCGGTGCGAACTGTCAACCCAGCCGGACACGGAAGTTTGGTTTCGGATGAATCAGGGCAGGGAATAGATGCCCGGGAACGCCATCCAGACCCTTGACTGGATCAGAAGTGTCCGGCAGTTACGGAAACTTTTGAACCATCCTCGCGTCTTGCAGTCATTCTCATCCTAATGATGACAGTAGTAGACACTACTCGAAAGTACCTGCGGAAGAGAAGTGTGCAAGTGTGGAGAAAAAGGCACCAGAGTCTCAGAAATATCAGGAATCCCATGAAATTTCTCCCAAAACTTGTTGTTTTGCGGAATGACTAGTCCCGACAAAGGTCGAGGTTCGCTGAGGACACACCAGAACATTTTCGGGCAATTTCCCATCAACCGTCACTCCCAGCTGTACTTCTCGAGTCCCGGCAAGGGCTTTCTCCATACAGTACAGTATTTCTTACCAGCCCCAGAAAATGTTGCCCTGGAAACCCAGAATCCAAATCAGGAACCAGTGCCCTTCAAAATTGCTTTGGTAGTCACCACTACACGGTTTTTGCTGCTACAGGTTCCACGCCCCGAGGCAGATGAATGTGGCCTCTGCGCCAGAGGAAACCCCCCAAACTACTAGCTGTCTTGTAGCCATGATTTAGCAGGGGTGCGACGTGCAGGGTGGGCTGCGATTTTCGGAGGGGGAAAAGTAGGGAGTGAGAGCGGGTAGGGGAAATCATGAGACAGGAATCACTAATCGGAGTTTCAAGGGTCTCCAATACATGTTCACAGATCTGTCAGAACTAGCGAAATAGGACATTAAAACAAATTAGGCTTTGTAACGAAACCGCTCCGTGTTTTCAGTTTATCAGGAAAAATTATTTAATAACTTAAGCCCTGCTCCTCTTGCCCCCACATGATGGGATGAGTGGCTGATATCGTGAACCGAGTCAGCTTCAGAGCGAGACCGTGGTATGATCTGACGTGGCAGGTTTGGCTCACTCTTTCTGTCTGGCAGCTCAGCAAGTGCGAGCGGCGGCAACTTGATGAGGGGAAATCTCCTCGGTTGGACATTCAGGTTCGGTAATAGGTTAGAGCGGCGTCCAGGGGCCGCTGCGCAGCCGCCTAAGCACGCGACTTGGGCGTGGCTCTGCGACGGCGGCTCCGTGAGTCAGAGCGGATACAAAACGAACGCTTCTGGTGTGTCCAAATCATATCGCACAGCATCGCGAGTCACTTTCGCAACCATCGTTGGAAGATTCTTGAACCACTCTCCCCTTCATTCACTTGCACGAGCCACTGTCACAGGGGCGATTTTGGAGCAGTCGAAGCTGATTCTTCGTGCGACATTTGTTTACCTCGTTCGTACCTCCTCACTTATGCTGCTCAACAAGCTCTCAACCATGGCGTCGTTTTCGCGTGCGAATCGCCATCTTCTAGCCGTTCTCTTCTCGGCGTGCCTCGCCAGCACCTGCTTCCCTCGCGCTGACGCTCTGCGCGTACCGCTCGCCACCAAGATCAACAGCGACGACCGTAAGAATACCCGCGCGCCTAAGCGCCGCTCATTCTACCACGCCGCCCAAACGCCTCGTCTATTTATACCACGCAGCACCGCCACGGGACGCTTTCTTTGTAATAACTCTTTAACGTACTTCCCAGTGCTCCTCGCCGTCGCCCCATTCATCCTCATTCATCCTCTTCGCACGATTTCCCACCCCTCTTCTTTCCTTCCCCTTCTTCCTCCTTCCCCCTCTTTTCCCTTCCCCTTCTCCTCTCCCCCCCCTCTTCCTCCTTTCCTCTCTTTCCTCTTCCCCTTGTCCTCTTCGCCCCCTCTCCCTCCTCCGCGCTCCATCCCCTGCGCAGAGGCGGTTTTGGAGGATCTGGTGAGTGCGTGGGGCGACTTCACGGGGTCAGACACGTGGAAGGATTCTGGCAAGAAGTGCGACCACTACACGGGCATCGATTGCGCCGGCAATGGCCGCGTCACCAACATGTGAGCCGCGAAAACGCGCCGAGCTGTGCCGAGCCGCGTCGCCCGAGAACTGGGCTGCTCGTTCGTAGCCGCGGCGGCTTGAGATAGAGGACGCGAGTTGGGATCTTTCGTCACGCTGGTGCTAGATACTTTCATCGCCGTCTCCTTTCTTGGCCAAGCCGCCGTTCTTGTGCTTTACCCAAACGCCGGCCGGCTGTCTTTCGCGCTCTCGAAGCGTACGACGGAAGAACGGGGCCCCGCCCCCTCCCTCGTCCCGCCCCGGCTCCTCTCGCCGTCTCCGAAATAGAGTTGCCCTTCGAAATAGAGTCCCTTCCGCGCTGATGCCTCTCCCCCCCCTGACCCTCCCTTCCACCCCCACACTCCCCCCGGCTGACGCCTTCCCCGCTGACTCCTCTCCCCGTTTCATCACCCGTTCCGCCTCTCCGTGGTGGCAGGACGATCGCGGATGCGGGCGCGTCGGGAACCATAGGCGTGCTGACGAAGCTGCAGAGCCTCAAGTACCTGTACGTACCGCGCACGTCACGTAGTACTTTCCACGCACGTGACGTACAAACATGTACGCAAGGCACAGCTGGCTTCCATTCTTTCCGTTCCTCGTTTTCGCACTGGCACCCGCTTGCTCGTCGCCACGCGCCACCCTCTCGACCCGCGTACGCCCGTCCCCGTTCCGGTCCTATATCCCGTTGTGCGCTTCTTGCTACGCTTCCTACTAGCAAGTGTAGCGCCCGTTGCACGTCGCACGGCCATGTACACCCCGCCGCGCCGTCCCATTTTCTCTTACCCCTCCCGCCTTCTGGCATTGTCATGCATCAATCCACTTTGCATGCTGCATGTCGCATGTCGCATGTCGCATGTCGCCCGTCTGCCGTCGCCCGTCGCAGCGACCTCTCTGGCAACGACATCACGGGGTCCGCCGCGTCGCTTTCCAAGATCACCTCCCTCTCCTACATGTGAGTTGTTCTGGCCGCTGGGTCGAAAGGGAGACTCTGAGTGGAAGAGGCAACAACGCACCTTCCACTCTCTCTCCCCTTTCCCCCATGCATGAATGTCTCTTGCTCTTTCCTCTCCCGGACGTAGCACCCATCCACCCAATACTTCCCCACCCCACCCACCACTCCTACCCACCTTCTGTGTGCCCCCCCCTCCGTGCGCCCTCTCCACCCCTCCCCACCGCACCCCACCCTGGGCAGCGACGTGTCGGGCAACACCAACCTGAACACGGGGTTCTCGTCGCTCTCCAACCTCGAGAAGCTCAAACACCTGTGAGCCGCCATGCCATCCCATCCGTGCCGCCCATCAGCGCCCCTCAACCTCCCTAAAACGTTCCTGCAGTCAGGATCTATCCTAATCTCTCCGCCTCCCTTCTCCTCTCGCCCACGCCCACCCACTCCCTCTCCCGTCCATTGCTCATCCTCGTTAGGGACATCTCCGACACTGGCTACGAGGGCTCCATCTCAACATTCGTCTCGAAGCTCACAGATCTCACACACCTGTGCGCCTACTACCTCCTACCTCCTACCTCCTACCTCCTCCTTGCACACGTGTCCCCTTCCCCCAATTCGCTTGTCAAGATACAATCCCCCTCCTGGTATCACCCGTCTCCTCCTCACTCCTCTCACTCGTGTCGCTCGTGCCGCTTGTATCACCTTGTGAGGACCTGACTCAACAACCACTGAACCACTCCCTTCTTTTACTTGTCCGCCCCTTGTCCATTTCACCCCGCCGCCTGAATTTCTTCCTCCTGCCATGCGTGCCTGCCTCCCTTCTCTCTCGTGTCTTTCTTCGCACCACTCTTGCCCCGTGCCGCAGCTCTGGCCCCTCTACACCCCACTAAGAACAGCCCTCTCCCCTCCTCCTCCCCCTTTTTCGCCCCTCTCTTCGCCCCTACGTGTCCGGCGCCACCACCAGTGACATGGCGTCCAACAGTCTTTCGGGGTCCATCCCTGGCTTCCTCAGCAAGCTGAAGAAGCTCGTGTACCTGTGAGTCATTTCGGTCCAGACCTCACCCAGCATGTGTGCGTGCTGCCTTCTTTTTTGTTTCTTTCTTCAAGCATTCACCTCAAGCACTCCAGCACTCATCGCACACATGCAATACAAGTACCGGCCTCCATTACTCAACTGCCCCTCCTCCCCCCCCCTCCCCTTGTGCGTGCAGTGGCCTGTCAGCCACGGGAGAGGACGGGCTCAAGGGCTCGCTGCCCTCCGGCCTGGGGAAGCTCACCCGCCTGGAAGAACTGTGAGCTGAGGGGAGGAGGAGGGGGAAAGGGGGGGGGGGGGGATGGGGGAGGAAGAGCAGCGTGTGTTTCTCAGGGAAAGGGGGAGGGGATGGGGGAGTGGTTTTTTCCAATTGTGCTACCTCAAATTTCTCACCTCTGCTTTCTTAGTCCTTTTCTCTCACCCCTGCCCTTTCACCCCCGCTCTCTTACCCCTACTCCCTCACCCCTCGCTCCTTCCCTCTCTCGCCCGTGCCTATCTGCCCTCCCACCCCTGCCCGTTCACCTCTCTCTCTCTGCAGCTACCTGCACCGCAACGGCCTGAGCGGGCCTGTCAACGTGCTCAGCACCCTCACCAAACTCAACCGCCTGTACGTGCTGCTGCTGCTGTTGCTGCTGCTGCCCCACCCACTCACATACTTGGCTGGTGCCTCTGCCATTCCGTACTACTGACACACTGCATCTGACAACAGGGCCCCCCTGCCCGTTCTCTCACTCCCTGTGACCACGTCCCGTCCGCCCCACCAGCCTTCTTGGCGACAACTACTTCAACGGCTCTTTCCCGTGGGGATTCTCCAAGCTTCGCAACCTCAATTACCTGTGAGCCCATGCCCATCCATCCTCCTCGCCTCTTCTCTGCCCGGCCCTATCTGTGTCTGTCTACAGACTGTTGCAACACCATCCCTGTGCTTCGCCGCCACCTCTGCATGCCATGCCACCTCTTCGTGCCACGCCCACTCTTCTTCGCCACGCCACCTCTTCCGCTGCCTCCTGTTTGCCAGCCGTAACTCTTGTCTCGCAGGAGCATTGAGCACACACACGCTGTGCTTGCCCCCACCACCAAGCCTCTCGTGTGTATGTTTCTCCTTGCTGCCCACTTGCTGCCCCCGTGTCCTCCCTGTCAGGAGCATGCGGTACAACGCCCTTGAGGGACGCATTCCAAACGTCATCAGCACTTTGAACAAGCTCACATACCTGTATGTTTCCCTTCCTCTTCCCCTTACTTCTTTTCTCTCTCTGTCTCTGTCTTGCCGAATGATGCCTCACACGCTCCTATCAGTGCTATCACCCCCCTCCTCATGCCCTCCTGTCAGTCGACCTTCCCCCACAAGTATATCCTCCTCTCCCCACCCCTCTCCCCACCCCTCTCCCCACCCCTCTCCCCACCCCTCTCCCCACCCCTCTCCCCACCCCTCTCCCCACCCCTCTCCCCACCCCTCTCCCCACTCCTCTCTACCCATCCTTTCTCCCTCCACCCTGCGTGCAGCTCGCTGTACAACAACAATCTCAAGGGCATCATCCCCCGCACTATCACCACGCTTACCAAGCTCAACAACCTGTATGCATTGCATCCCTGCTCCTGCTTCCTATTCATCTCCCCAGATTCCAACGTCACTCGCTTGCTTCTTCTCTGCTGATCTTCCTGTGGCTACTTTTCCTGTCCCATACCAACATTCCACCCCTACCACCCTTCCCGCATCTCCCCCTCCGCCCCCGCCACCCCCCCAACCCTGTTCCCCTGGCACCTCACTCTCACGCGATCCCACTTTCTCGCTCCCATCCTCCCTCTCTGTGTCTCCGTCGGTCAGCCTTCTGCAGGACAACTACCTCGATGGCTATGTCCCCGTGCTCACATCCCTCAAGAAGCTCACAGAAGTGTATGACTCACCATCCTAAACCCATCACCCTTTTCCTTCTTTGGCTGCTCCTGAGTTGCTCCTTTCCTTGCTACTTGCACTCTAGCCCTTCATTGATCAACTCATCACATTTTCTCTCGCTCCACCTCTGTGCAGTGACCTGAGTGCCAACTACTTCACCGGCCCGCCGCCGAACTTCTACAAGGCTCCCTCCACACTCAACCTTGATGACAACTACTTCTTCGGCTCCTCTGTTCCCAAGGACAAGAACGGTGACACGATCTGCGCGGCCTCTCTTGACAAGAACTGCCTGACCATTCCGTCCTCGTACGGCTGCGGCTCCAAGCCCTCCCAGCGCACCGCTTCTGCGTGTAACAAGTTCTGCGGCACCTCTGGCAATATGCAGTGTGGGGGCATCCGCATTGGCATCTGCTACCCGTCGGATAAGGTTGTGGAGACTAGTGGTAGTACTATTGACCCTGGCTGCCTCTGCGCGAATGGGTGGTCTGTGTCCGATGATAAGCAGGAGTGCACCAAGTGACGGGAGAGCACATGGATGGCGGAGGCAGTTGAAATAGATGGAATTGGAGGTCGGAATGTTTTATTTATGGGAAGGTTTCGGGTCTGGTGGGGAAATAAAGTAGAAATAGGTGGGGATGCGTCATGTTTGCTGCGGAATAAATTGTTGAGGTAATATCCTTGCAACAGGGAGTCACCCAGGATCAAGATTTTGTGGAACCTTGGGAGTTGGTAGTAAGAGGAAACCTTGGAGACCCTTGGCTGTAAGAAAAGCAAGAATAGAGAAGATTAACTTTGGTGCATCCAGCTTCAAAGGGCCTACAATTGCGTCACGAGTACTGGGTACATTCTCTGATCTCCCCGTAATCACCGCTGACTCCGCACCGTTACTCTTGTCGAATCAGAAAGTGCCTAGTCATGTGGGACTGGGCCCACAAATTCCCGCCTAAATCATCCTCAGCAGGGGCTCCACCAGACTCTGACGCTGGCTTCCCGCCAAACGTTTCTCTTTCAAACCGTCAACCCCGCATACAGTCACAAAATCACCACACTGCTGACACTGACCTAGGCGAAATCTCGATTTTTCGTGACGGAAATTATCAACACCTGCTCGCCGTTCGTGCGAAGGACGATGCGTGTAGCGAAGCGCGACGACATGGATGGGGGGAAGGAAACTCTTCACCCTCAATTCCCTCAACCCAGCAAGGGGCCGTCTGTTTTTGGTTATATTTCACCTTCCACCATTCGTCTAGCTTTGTTCAGTATGTGTATTCCCAGCTAGTAACTCTGTCAGGTAGTCAGACGTGTTTCACTAACCAGCACAACTTCGCCCAATCCGCAGCGAAGGAAACTAGTGAACACTTGACGATCCGCAGTCAGGTCGTTTCCGTGAAGCACAACAAAGTTATCTGCAACTACTACGAGTAGCTCCTAAACAGTCTCCATGGCGTCCCTGGCGCCAACCATCACGAGCACACAAACTCAAGCGATCCTTTTCTCGTCGCAAGCAGAGCATCGCACGCCATTCGCGTCAGTAGAAGCTGTCGCCTCGTCAACCACCCACCAGCCTCTATGCGCTCAAACAGACCGCCTCTCCACGGGCTCACGTGGAGTCACGCGGCCTCGAATCCCTAACTTCCCCGAGCGGTCGCTTGGCAGAAGGCCTCTGCTAACCGGGAAGAAACCCGCAGGCGTCTCCGACGTCTTCTCCGCGGGTGCCTCCGCGCGCGCGTGTGCACCCGTGCGCGCGTCTCTCGCGCCGGCATACGAAGATGCGGCGAGGATGAATGGCCGGCCACCACGACCCACCGGCGAAACACCAGACTATGCAGCTACTGGCGACAATGGCGACGCGGCAGGCTTGAGCAGCCACGCGGAATGGAACACGCAAACGGGAGGCGCGGTGGTTAATATGGCGGATAGCTTCACCGGCGCATCGATCAAAGTGATTGGCGTCGGCGGTGGCGGGTCAAACGCGGTCAATCGAATGATCCAGGTAAGGCCATGGCTGCTCAGCAATGAGGTTGTCCAGCAACACGGTGTACACAGCAACCCAAGTGCAATGATTATTCAGTGCCAAACGTGACATGGTTTCAAAACCGCCAACCCGTTTGAAGCTCCATCTGGTTCGTCTGTAGCCCGCCGTCTCGCCGCTCATGACTATCTCCCACTCCGCTGTCCTCTATGATTCAACGGCTGTCAGATGGGGATGCGCGGAGTCGAGCCGTTCGTCGTCAACACTGACGGCCAGGCGCTAGAGCTGTCGCCGGTGGGGCGCGGCAACCGGCTGCAGATCGGCGTGGAGTTGACGCGCGGGCTGGGCGCGGGCGGGAACCCGATGATCGGACAGCACGCGGCGGAGGAGAGCCGGCTGCTGCTGCAGGCCGCGCTCGCTGGCGCTGACATGGTGTTCGTCACGGTGAGCGTGGGATAAGGGGCGAGAGGAAGAGACGATGGGCTCTGGTAATTTTCCTCTCTTTTTTTTAAAAGTTTGTGGGCTGAGGGGGTTTCGTTGGCATGGCTGTGAGAGACGATGGAAATGATGGGGTGACGTGTACTTGTCAAGTGTCTGACGGAGGAGTCTTACTGCTAGAGTTTTAAACGAGTGGACGCAGCGAGGAATAAATGGAGAATAGAGAAGAGCGGATATGCTGAAGGAGGAGGAGTCAGAATGATGATAGTCGTAGCGGATAATAAGGAGAAACGCAAGGGGATTGGACCCGCTGAAAGCACGAGTACACGCAGGCAACGGATATTAGCGTCCCAGTGACTCACACATGGCACTGTTCATACACCCCGGCCCAACCCATCACAGCTTCATAACCCCCTCACTCCCACTGCTTCGCCCTCTCTCCCATCCCCCTCCCCCTCTCTCCCCCCTCCCCCCCCCCGGTTCCCCCATCCGGCCCCTCTCCCACCCTTCCCTCTCCCTTTCCATTCACCTCCATCGGGCAATCAACTCCTCTTCCACCGCCCATTCTCCCCTTTCCGCCAACCGCTCCCCCTTTCCTCTCGCCGTCCCGCAGGCGGGGATGGGCGGCGGAACGGGCAGCGGCGCAGCGCCGGTGGTGGCGGAGGTGGCGCGCAGCCTGGGGATCCTCACGGTGGGCATAGTCACGCTGCCGTTCTCGTTCGAGGGGCAGCGGCGCGCGGCGCAGGCGGTGCGCGCGCTGGAGGAGCTGCGGGGGGCCGTGGACACGCTGATCGTGATCCCCAACGACAAGCTGCTCAGCGCCGTTGATGTCAGCACGCCCGTGAATGAGGCGTTTGTTATGGCGGATGACGTGCTCCGACAGGGCGTGCGGGGGATTTCGGATATCGTGCAGGTGTGTGCCGTGCGGTGGGGTGGGCGTGAGGGCGGTGCTGTGGGAGTGGGGCATTGCTGGGTGGAGTGAAAGGAGAGGCGGGTGGGGAGAGGGGCATGAAAGGTGTGTGTGTGTGTGGGGGTGGGGGGGGGAGGGGGGTGAATGGGAAGGAATTCATGGTGGATTGGTAGCAGCTGAGTGACGAGTAGTCGTGAGAGCAGGGAATTGTACGGATGGCATGCTGGCATGGTAATCTGCATCAGGGATTCTCTCTGCAACAAACTTCCCTCTCTCCCACACCACCGGTTCCCCACTTCCCCCTCCCCAACCTCTCGCCCTCCCTCCCGGCCCTATGCTCCCCCGCCACCCAACCAACCCCTCCACCCTCTCCCCCCCTCCTCCTCCCCCTCCCCCCCCCCCGCCCCAGGTGCCCGGGCTGGTGAATGTGGACTTTGCGGATGTGAGGGCGGTCATGGCCAACGCGGGCTCCTCGCTCATGGGCATCGGGGTGGCTTCAGGTGGGCCATGGGCTTCAAGCGGGCATTGGGGTCGCCAACGTTAAGCAATGAGTGGTAGTAGCTGGGCCTTTAAACGGGCAGGGCGTGCGAAGTACAGGAAGGCTGAGGCTGGAATGCAGGGGAAAGGGTGCGGAACCATGCATGAAAGGGGTGGGAAAAAGCAGATAAGGGTGGAAACCGTGCGTAGAAGTAAAGTAGTCATGCATAGAAAGGACGGAATTATGTAAATCTGTTTGGAAAAAAAGAACGTTCTCTATGACTGAAGAAGCAAGGAGCAGTACGAATAAGAGTACCACTCGCTCGTGCATCGGCTGCTCACCACCCCCCACCCTTTCTCTATCCCGTCTCATCTCTTCTTCTCCCCTCCGCTCCTAACTTCCCCTCCTAAACTCTTCCCTCCTCCCTGGACCTCCCTCCACTCCCCTCCTCTCCCCCGCTCCCTTCGCCCGCCCCTCTCCCCTCCCCCTCCCCCTCTCTCCCCGGCCCCCCCTCTGGCGCCTGTGTGAGCAGGCAAGCACAGGGCGCGGGAGGCGGCGCAGCAGGCGATAGAGTCGCCGCTGCTGGACACGGGGATAGGCAACGCCACGGGCATTGTGTGGAACATTACCGGGCCGCCCAGCATGACGCTCAATGAGGTGAACGCACGCCCGCTGCCAGGCACGCCCGCTGCCAGGAATGCCTACTGCCAGGCACGCCCGCTGCCAGGAATGCCTACTGCCAGGCACGCCCGCTGCCACGAATGCCTTCTGCCAGGCACGCCCGCTGCCAGGAATGCCTACTGCCAGGCACGCCCGCTGCCAGCCATCCATCCATCCATCCATCCATCCATCCATCCATCCATCCATCCATCCATCCATCCATCCATCCATCCATCCATCCATCCATCCATCCATCCATCCATCCATCCATCCATCCATCCATCCATCCATCCATCCATCCATCCATCCATCCATCCATCCATCCATCCATCCATCCATCCATCCATCCATCCATCCATCCATCCATCCATCCATCCATCCATCCATCCATCCATCCATCCATCCATCCATCCATCCATCCATCCATCCATCCATCATCCATCCATCCATCCATCCATCCATCCATCCATCCATCCATCCATCCATCCATCCATCCATCCATCCATCCATCCATCCATCCATCCATCCATCCATCCATCCATCCATCCATCCATCCATCCATCCATCCATCCATCCATCCATCCATCCATCCATCCATCCATCCATCCATCCATCCATCCATCCATCCATCCATCCATCCATCCATCCATCCATCCATCCATCCATCCATCCATCCATCCATCCATCCATCCATCCATCCATCCATCCATCCCCCCGCCCGCCCGCCCGCCGGCAGGTGAACGAGGCGGCGGAGCAGATATACCAGCTGGTGGACCCCCGCGCCAACCTCATCTTTGGTGCCGTCGTTGACCCCTCGCTGGATGACCAGGTGGGGGGGAGGGCGTGTGAGGGGGAATGGGGATGGCGTGGGTGAGGGGATGGGGATGGCATGGGTGGGGGATGGGGGTGGCGTGGGGAAGCCCTCTGTTTTGCAATCTTCTGTCCAATTCAGCCCCTCCCGCCAACCCCATCTCCCCCATCCCCATCCACTTCCACCGCTTCCCACTGCTCCCCATCCTCTAAAGTCTGTCTCCAAACCTGCGTGTTTCGTCCTCGTTCCCTCCCTTCGTTTCCTCAGTCCCTCTCGCCTGCCCCCCAAAATCCCTACCTTTCCTCCCAACCATCCAGGTCAGCATCACTCTCATCGCCACGGGCCTGCACTCCCCCTCGGTAGGCTCACATCCCCATGCATTTACACATGCGCTGCACACATACACACTTACACACATACACACTTAAACACATGGCACGTGCACACATACACACATGCACACGTGCACACATAGAGAGTGAAGGCCTGGTGTGAGTGTACCAAAGCACCCAGATGCTCTTGGATTGCCCTTCTTTGCCTCCTGGTCTCCCCCCTACGTGCTCTACCTCTTCAACATTCCCTCGCCCCCTTAACCCCGCTCCTGCCGACCTTATCTCTGCTCATTCTTCCTGAATCTCCGTTCGTCACCCCCATGTTTCTTCCACAAGCATGCCGGCGCACTTGTGGTCCTGGATTATTATCCATCATCCAGTATTCATGATTCACCTCTGTCCGTCACGGCTCCACTCCTTGCCAATCTTGCCATTCATTGTCCTTGTGGTTCTTGCTTCCTCCTTCTTCCACCCTCCCTCCTGTTCCCCCCCAACGCAGTATGTCCTGCGGTCGCCCCCATCAGCATCAGCAGCAGCAGCGCCGCCACCACTACCGCCACGCGTGCCCAACCAAGCATCACCTCCAGTGCCTCACTCTCGCAACCCCATCCCGTCTCCCCCTTCTACCGCATACCCCCCTGCCTATGCTGCTGCACCTGCGCCACTGCCCCTCCGCACAACCCCCCACCCCCCTCCCCCTCTACCATTCCCCCTCCCTATTCCTTCCCCGCGCCCACCTCCTCCCCGCCCCCCCCGCAAGCCCCTGAGAGCGCCAGTAGCAGCATGACTGCTCCGCGCAGGGGGGGTTATGGGTGGGCGGAGGAGGGGGTGGGGGTGGCGGCTCCGGCTGTGGGGGTGGAGGGGGCGCGGATCAAAGTGATTGGCGTGGGTGGAGGAGGGTCGAATGCTGTCAACCGCATGGTGCTGGTGAGTGCACGGGGCAGAGGAGGAGGGAGGAGGGGGAAGAGAGGAGGGAGGAGAGAGGAGGATGATTGGAGGAGGGAGGAGGGTTGTGGATTTGGAGGGATAGAGAAGGGTTTGCAGGGGTGGGGTGGTGGATGAGGTTTAGGGGGAAGGAGGGTGTGGGAGGAGGATGTTTATATGAATGCTCCAGCCCTCCTCCTGTTCCTCGCTCCGTACCCTGCCTTGTCCCCAACCCACGCATTCCCCATCCCTCCTTCCTTCCCTTCCTCCCTTCCCAACCTCTCTCCCCCTGCCCCCTCCCCCCACCCCCCTCCCCACCCCCCAGAGCGGCATGCGCGGGGTGGAGTTCTGGGTTCTGAACACGGACCGCCAGGCCATGGCGCTCTCCCCGGTGGACGACCGCCACTGCATCCAGATCGGCAACGCGCTCACACGCGGCCTGGGCGCGGGGGGCAACCCCAGAATAGGCGAGAGCGCAGCGGAGGAGAGCCGCGACGTCGTGCAGGCAGCAGTGGCTGGAGCAGACATGGTGTTTGTGACGGCGGGAATGGGGGGCGGGACAGGGAGTGGGGCTGCGCCGGTGGTGGCGGAGGTGGCGCGGGGCATGGGGATACTCACGGTAGGGATTGTGACGCAGCCGTTTTCGTTTGAGGGGCAGCGGCGGAAGCTGCAGGCGCGGGATGCGGTGTCGGCGCTGCGGCAGCACGTGGACGCGCTGATCGTGATCCCAAATGACAAGCTGCTGGCGGCCGTGGGGCAGAGCACGCCCATCAACGAGGCGTTCACGCTGGCGGACGACGTGCTCAGACAGGGCGTGCGGGGCATCTCAGACATCATCCAGGTATGTTCTCTTTAGGCGACTTATAAATCACCTGGGGTGTGGCAGAGCACACCGATTGACGAGGCGTCCACGCTGGCGGACGACATGCTCAGACATCATCCAGGTGCATGTCTGTGTGGGGGGGGGCTTCGGATTTCTTCGTGGTGTGGGGTGCATCACTCAGGTGTGGCTGCTTTAACTGTCTAGGCGTCCATGTTTGTTGCGTGGTCCATGGGTGAGCCTTTCAGACGAATGAGGAAGGCACACCATGGATTCTCTGTTGCAAATAAAGGAGCCCTACCCATTCACGTAAACAAGCTGGCCTGCCTGCGACCCTCTTACATCCCTTCCCCACACTTCCCCCCACCCCCCCCTGCGAGGGCTGGTGAACGTTGCCGTAACATCCCAACCCAAGATGCATTTCCCTTGGTGTTTCTGGTTCCCCCGCCCCAGGTGCCCGGGCTGGTGAACGTGGACTTCGCAGATGTAAGGGCGGTCATGGCCAATGCGGGCTCCTCGCTCATGGGCATCGGGGTCGCCTCAGGTAAGACCTTGGCTTTAAGGGATTAAGGTGGCTCCGGGTGGGCTGTGGGCTTTAAGCAAGCACTGGGATGGCCTTGGGTAAAACCTTGGCTTTAAGGGCATTGGGTTGGCTTCAGGTGGGGCATTGGCTTTGAGTGGGCACCGGGTGGGTTCAGGTGCAGTGTTCAACGGGCTGTGGTTTCGCCTTGGGTGGGTTATGAGTGCTCTTAGGTGGGGGGCTTAGAGGGGCATTGGGATTGGATTGGATAAGCAGTGAGGGGGCATGAGTGGGGCTGTGAACAGCCAGTGGGGCTGCATTGGGTATAGGGTTTCGGGTTTCGGGTTCAGGGTTTAGGGTAGGGCTTAACAATCAGGTGCTGGCCTCATGTTGGGCTTGCTGCTGACGGTTAGAGCTGGGGCTTGCTGCCGAGGGTTAGAGCTGGGGCTTGGTGCCGAGGGTTAGAGCTGGGGCTTGGTGCCGAGGGTTAGAGCTGGGGCTTGCTGCCGAGGGTTAGAGCTGGGGCTTGGTGCCGAGGGTTAGAGCTGGGGCTTGCTGCCGAGGGTTAGAGCTGGGGCTTGGTGCCGAGGGTTAGAGCTGGGGCTTGGTGCCGAGGGTTAGAGCTGGGGCTTGGTGCCGAGGGTTAGAGCTGGGGCTTGGTGCCGAGGGTTAGAGCTGGGGCTTGGTGCCGAGGGTTAGAGCTGGGGCTTGGTGCCGAGGGTTAGAGCTGGGGCTTGGTGCCGAGGGTTAGAGCTGGGGCTTGGTGCCGAGGGTTAGAGCTGGGGCTTGGACCGTCCCTCCCTCCCTTAGCACCCACCATCTCTTGCTCTCTAATGTCTACTCTCTTGGTGGCTGTCTCCCAGGCAAGGGCCGGGCGAAGCTAGCAGCGCAGGCAGCGATCCAGTCGCCGCTGCTGGATGTGGGAATAGACCAGGCGACGGGCATCGTGTGGAACATCACCGGGCCCTCCGACATGACGCTGCTCGAGGTGAGGGATAAGCACGGCACGAGGTGGGGTAGGGAGAGTAGGCTTTTTGTGCTCTGACATGGGGTTGGTCATAGCAGCGTGACATGCATGTTCCTGCCATGCACATGCGCCCCTGCCATGCATGCTCCTACCGGAGTTGTAGCTACTATGGTGATTTACAACTTGTCCAGCTGTCCGTATGCACGGCTTGCCCATGTGTATGTGTGTGTGCGTCGGTGCCCCTCCGTTTCCCATGCCCATGGCAGGTGAACGAGGCAGCAGAGGAGATCCATCGCCTGGTGCATCCAGACGCCAACCTCATCTTTGGAGCGGTGGTTGATGACTCCCTGGGAGCAGACGTGAGCCCTGCCATGCCATGCCATGCCGTGCCGTGCGACACCATGCTGTCCACTTGCCTGCCTTCTCTCCCCCCTCCCCTACTCAAAACGTGGAACAACGGTACAGTGTCTGTCATGCTCTTCTCATTGGCCTTCAATGAGGTGGTATCAGTGTCCTACTCTTCTTTCGTGTTTCCTTGCCTTCTCCTTAAGCTCCTGCCCTCCCTCCATTCCTGGGTGACCCTTGCAGCTGAGCATCACTCTCATTGCCACAGGCCTGCGTGACCAGGGCGCTCAGGTGAGCACAGCACACATTATCCCCTCAACCCCATCTGTATGGCCATATGCCACATGTAATGCACACCTCCGTACTCCGGCAATTTGGATGTTAAGGATTGGCCAACATGAAGGTGCAACTATTTGGCCAACGTACTATGTGTAACGCATCTTTTCCTGTCCTAAATACTCCCCTCGCACCATCTCAGATCCCCCCCGCATCTCGCGATGTTGGGAACCGAGCAACAGCTGTACAGCCGCAATCTAGAACGCAATCGCCACCACCACCTCCCCCTCGTACCGCTGCTCCTAACATCCCAGAATTCCTTAGGCGCAGGGCTCGACGTTAGGCGCTCATTGAATGAAGCAGTAGGATATGGTGTGTGTGATGCATATGCTCTCCATCCATTCGGTGTGTTGGGCAAAGCCTCGTTAAGATGGGCAAAGGGTTTCCCAGATGCGTAGGAGACAGAAGTTGCTACCATAGGGTCTGCCTTGTATTTATTTATGTCGTGTGCAAATTTTGGCATTTCCCACCTATTGAGCTATCTACTTCGTGTGTATATTTCATTTTCATGTCTCAATGGTTGTCTATTCCGCTGCTTTTGGCGCGTACATGCGACAGCACAATGAGCGCAAGCTGGCTTTTCCCGCCAACAACAAGCAGCAGCCAATGCCATCTCCCCATTCGCGTCGCGTCCCATGCCATCCATCCAGTCGCCCTCCAATTTCTTCCCGCTCCCCTCCCTCCCGCAGCAGCCCTCCCATCTGCTCCCCTCCCTCCCGCAGCAGCCTTTCCTTGCCTCTCCCCTCCTCTCCTCTCCTCCACTTCCTCCTGCCGCATTTTTTCGTCACATGCCTCTCGCTGGCTCCATCTCTTGTGATTTCTGTTGGATTCCAGCAGAAAAGGGTCCTTTTCCAACTCGCGGTTCGCCTTTCCACGTGTTACTCCTCGGTGCTTGCTTGCTTTTTCAGCTCGCTCGCTTTCTGTCCTAGACTTGGTCGGAAGGCAGGTGCTTTATTCAGCCTCCCTCGTTGCGTCACACCTGGAGGAACGACAGTTAGCACTACCTCGTAGAGTCTGAAACCTCGGATTCTTCACCCCGACACGCCAAGACACAACACGACTCGGCACAACACGTCACAGCACAGCACGGCTGCTCTAATCAGCAGCAGCCATGGCTCCCATGCTCGCAGCGCACTCCCGAATTCCGCTGCACCACCACATCGGTACTCCTGTTGTCGACCCCTTTCATCTCCGCAAAAGACCCTCGCATACCACCGCAGAAACTTGCAGTTTTCCCCATGCCCATACACATGCCCATACACATGCCCATACACATGCCCATACACATGCCCATACACATGCCCATACACATGCCCATGCCCACACACATGGCCGTTACTGCATAGTCATCCCCACTCTGGCGCTGCCCCATCGCGCGCCCTTGCCCCCATCGCCTCTGCGCGGATACTCGCGCTACTCTTCCGCGTACTCACAGCCTTCGCCGCTCCTCCAATCCTGCCGGATTTCGCGCCGCGCTTCGCGCAATCGTCGAGCGCCCGTGGCGCGGGCAGACGACGTGTCGGCGACAGATTCGCGGTCCGTCTCCGGTAAAGGATCGCACGCGCGATCGCTGACGTCGCAGGAGCCAGGGGCGGCGCACCGGACCACCGCCGCCAGCAGCGCAAGCGCTCCGCGTGCGCAGATTGGCGGAGGAGGAAGCAGTGGCGGAGGCGGAAGCAGTCTCCCGAGCGTGGGCGGAGCAAGAGGAGCGGGGAGATCGGGGGAAGCCCAACGGCCGGAAAACGCGGGGAGCAGGGGGAACGCGGGGGGGTTAAGGGGCGCAGGTGAAGGTGGGAGGGGCGGAGAAGGAGTCGGAAGGCGCGCGGGAAGCGGAGGGGTAAACGGCGGGGGGAGCGAGAGGGGGGGGCGTGCAGTGCGGTTGCTGTCGGATCTATGTCTGCTGCATGACCTGAGCCAAGGGGATAGCGGCCCGGAAGTAGCAGACGTACAGGTGGGTGGGTGGGTGGGTGGGTGGGGGGGGAGGAAGGGGATGGGATGCGTGGTGGTGTGAGTCAAACGCGTTCTACGCTTTCTACGCTTTCTGTGCTTTCTACAGCAGCCATGGCTCAATCCATGTCTCTGCTCTCGTCCTCACCACCACCCGCTGTTCTCGTCGTCTGCTCTCGTCCTCCTCGCCTCCCATCTCCTTGCGCCCTCTCACACCCCAAGTTCCTCCACTCAAAGCCCTTGCCTGCCCACCCCATGTGCCCTCCCTCCCTGCCTCCCTCCCTCGTGACCCCCAGAGCGCTCTTCTCCACTTCGGCTTCTTCCCTGATGCTTCCTTGGTCACTGGGTGAGACAGACATTAATTAATTAATTGATGCATGCATGCACGCACGCACTCACGCACGCACGCACGCACGCACGCGCTCACTGACATCTATTCATTCATGCCTACATGTACCAGTCTATTTTTGAGGCGCCTCCAAAATAGACTCCTCATTCTCCCATGCATACATGTACCAATCTCTTCTCCCAATCCGTCGCGGCCTCTCACGTGCTCATAAAAACCTTTGCACAGTTGACAAGCCTCGAGGCTACATACATACCACCCACCTTGCGCCATTTGTCAGCTGTACAGTCCCTAAACTGCTGCAACAAAGCCCATGGCATGTTGCAATTCCCACCAGATGCTCCTCTCCCAATTCCCAATTCCCAATTCCCCAGATTCCACCAGTTTCCCCAGATGCTCTCCGCTCGCATACCTGACCCATCGCCCTCACGCCATATGATTCTCACTCCCTTCTCCCCCCCGTCTCCTCCCACCTTCCCGCCGCGCCCCCCCCTCCCCCCCCACACCCAGGTTCTTTGGGCCCATCACGCGCGCGAGCATAGCGGAGTTCCAGCTGTACCACGGGCTGCCGGCTACCGGCAAGTGGGACGAGCCCACGCGCACCGCCATGTGCCGCCGCGTGCACAGCGAACAGAAGGTGAGGTTGGGGTTGAGGGTGCGGGTGCGGGTGAGGGTGAGGGTGGGGGTGAGGGGAGGGGTGGATACATGGAGGGTACTGAGACGTCTCGAAACATGCACCGCCATGCGCCGCCGCGTGCACAGCAAACAGAAGGTGAGGTTGGGGGTGAGGGTGAGGGTGTGGGGGGGGTGAGGGTGGGGTTGAGGGTGGGGGTGAGAGGGTGGGGAGGGGTGGATACATGGAGGGTTTTGAGACATCTGAAAACGCGCACCGCCATGTGCCGCCGCGTGCACGGCGAACAGAAGGTGGGAAGGGAATACTACTCAGAGGGGATGGGTGTCTGTGTGGGGGATAGAGGAGGGGGACCTTTTAACTGGGGGAGGGGGGGAGGTAGGGAGGAATGCAGGGGTTGCATGGGGAACTGTGGTGTGCCTGGATGGGGGTAGGCTTGCGGCGATGTGCCCCCAGACTAGTTGTGATTAGGCGGGTTAGATCCACAGCAAGCTCACAAGAGAACTCTCCGTTTAATCTATGGATCTAACTAACTACTATGTAGACAGAGATTTCGAGTAGAAGAAAGACTTAATACTCAATCTTAGACGGACATCGCCCCCAGACCAGAGTGCTATACTCTCTGCCATGGCTCTCTTGCTAAGTTCTTACACCCCCGTCATGTCTCTGACGCCCTATCCGTACCATCACGCTGGCACACTCAACCATTCTTTTCTGTTGTTTTATTTTGTTTTTTGTTTTTTTTCTCTCGACATTTTTCGTGTGAAGTTCACTGAGAACTCTCACCACCACTTGGCTCAGTCTCTTCTCTGCCACCTTCCTGCCTGCTCACTTCACCTTCTCTGCCTCCATGCTCCCTGCCTCCTCTTCTCCCTCCCCACTCTCTGTCTGCCCATCTCTCCCCTCGCTCCCTCATTCCCTCGCCGCCTCGCCTCCTGCCTGCATCTGCAGGCGGCGATGAAAGCTGCCAAGCACCGGCAGGAGAGGCAGACAGCAGGTGAGGCACGTGATCTGAAGAGGTGCCACCATGCATCCCAACCAAAAACACTCCAAGTACCAGCCCTTGTTAGTCCCTGTGTTAAGACCAAGATCCATGCACAGGACAGTCCTTGTTGTCAATGCACGGCCACTGTTGTTTCTGCCCCCTGCTGCTTTGCTCTGCTCCCTTTTCCTTGCCGCTTTCGTTGGTGCCCTCTCTCTTTCGTTGGTTGCCACTTTTCCATTCCCCACTATTCCCCCTCTCCCTCACCTCTAGCATCGAAGCCTGAACAACGACACCACCACCAGCAGCAGCAGCGGCAGCAGCAGCAGCAGCAGCAGCAGTTGCCTGTGAGCGTCCCTGGCCTAGAGAGCGCCCTATCCAGCATGGGCAGCAGGGGCATGGTGATGCTGTCAGCGCCCTTCCTCCTCGTTGCGGCCGTCGCTGCTGCCGTCACCGTGCGCAAGTTCATCATGCCTCTTGCCTCCTCCTCTGCCACTTCCGCTTCCTCGCCCTTCCCATCCACCTCCCGATCTCCTCCAGTCAAGCAGCAGCAGCACCAGCAGGTTTCTGTAACACCGCTCCCTGTATCTTCTCATCCGCCTCCTACCGCACCCTCTGCCACGCTTTCTCGCGCCTCGTCTGAGGCCCCTCGAACTGCATCCTCATCGTCATCACCATCATCAGCAGCATTGTCGTCGCCGCAAGCAGGTTTCTCACTCCACACGCTGTCACTCCAGGCACAGCAGGCGGAGCTTCTGTCCCTCCACCTCACCTCCGCTGCTCCGTCAGCAGCTGCAGCAGCAGCAGCAGCAGCAGCATCCGTGTCGGCTCCATCAGCATCATCGTCATCAGCAGCAGCAGCACAAGCATCAGCAGCAGGAGGAGGACCTGGGCGGCGCATAACAGTGAACGACACAGTAGTGCTGCCACCACTCCCAGCAGAGGACGGAGAAGAGGCAGCAGCAATAGCAGCAGCAGGGGGAGCAGGCGAATCGGAACAGCACGAGGCCTATCTTAGCAGGCGCCAAGATCAACAAGAAGAGAAGGAACAGCAAGCATGGGTGGAGTATCCTGCTTGGGAGGCGCCTCAAAGAAGGGAACCGCGAGCAAGGGTGGAGTATCTCCCGTATAGTGAAGCGTCGCAGGCTCCTCCGAGGTCTAGTAGGTCCGGCCCTGTGCCTGTAACGGATGCAGTACTGGTTCCCGTGTGGGATGGGGGAGAGGCGAGTAGCAGCGGAGAGAGACCCGTGGGAGTGGCAGGACTGGCACAAGGAGCAGGAACAGGAGGAAGAGGGGGAAGAGGGGGAAGAGGAGGAAGAGGAGGCGCAGGAGGAACACAAGGAGGAGTTGGAGGAGGAGGAGGAGGAAGAAGAATAGCAGAAACAGCAGCCATAGCTGGAATGGCAGGTGTAGTAGCAATGACGCCAACGACAGGAATGGTAGATGTTGCTGGTGCAGGGACTTCTAGGGCGGGTGGTATCTTAGGCTCTGATGGTGCGGGTGTGGGGTTAACAGGTGTAGTGGCAGGGGTGGTGGCAGGAAGTGGGGGGCTGTGGGACGGAAGTGAGGGGAAAGACGGAGTGGAGACAGAAGATGTAAGGACGTGCGCTGAGGAGGCAAGGATGGGTAGTGAGGCAGAGGACGAGAAGGAGGCAGAGAAAGTGGAAGATGATGGGATGGAGGAGGAGAAAGAGGAGGAGAAAGAGGAGGAGAAAGAGGAGGAGAAAGAGGAAGAGAAAGAGGAGGAGAAAGAGGAAGCGAAAGAGGAGGAGAAAGAGGAAGCGAAAGAGGAGGAGAAAGAGGAAGCGAAAGAGGAGGAGAAAGAGGAGGAGAAAGAGGAGGAGAAAGAGGAAGAGAAAGAGGAGGAGAAAGAGGAAGCGAAAGAGGAGGAGAAAGAGGAAGCGAAAGAGGAGGAGAAAGAGGAAGCGAAAGAGGAGGAGAAAGAGGACGAAAAAGAGGAGGAGAAAGAGGAAGAGAAAGAGGAGGAGAAAGAGGAAGCGAAAGAGGAGGAGAAAGAGGAAGCGAAAGAGGAGGAGAAAGAGGAAACGAAAGAGGAGGAGAAAGAGGAAGAGAAAGAGGAGGAGAAAGAGGAGAAAGAGGAGAAAGAGGAAGCAAAAGAGGAGGAGAAAGAGGAAGAGAAAGGGGAGGAGAAAGAGGAGGAGAAAGAGGAGGAGAAAGAGGAAGCGAAAGAGGAGGAGAAAGAGGAAGCGAAAGAGGAGGAGAAAGAGGAAGCGAAAGAGGAGGAGAAAGAGGAAGTGAAAGAGGAGGAGAAAGAGGAAGCGAAAGAGGAGGAGAAAGAGGAAGCGAAAGAGGAGGAGAAAGAGGAGGAGACAACGGAAGAGGAGGAGAGCAAGGAGAAATCGAGAGAGGATGGTGAAGCAACAGAAGCACCCAGGGACATCAAGACAGGCACAGAAGAACACGTCACAGCCAGAGAGGAGTGGGAGCGAAGGGAGAGTGGAGACAAATTGGAGGAGACAGAGGGTGCAGAACCGGAGGGGGAAGAGGGAGATGCAGAGTGGAGAGGGAAGGAGGCGGGAGAAGCACAAGGGTTGGTAGATAGCAGAGAAGATGTGGTAGATGTGGTAGATGTGGTAGCAGTGGATGCAATAGATGTGAGAGAGGGTGGTGGGGACCGAGATGGTCCGAGCGGGGAAGAAGATGAGGAGAGAGGGGTTCCGGATGTGCTTGGTATGGCGAGCGGCGCTCCAGGGGAGAGGGTGGTGCAGGATGGAGAGGGATGGGTTGAGAGGCGGGAGATAGCAGCGGAGGGGCATGATGTTACGGCTGAGAGTGAGAGTGAGAAAGAGAGAGAGAACTTGGAGGAGAACGGGAGTGTGGATAAGAATGAGAGTGTGGGGGAGAATGGGAGTGTGGAGAAGAATGAGAGTGTGGGGGAGAATGGGAGTGTGGAGAAGAATGGGAGTGTGGAGAAGAATGAGAGAGTGGAGAAGAATGGGAGTGTGGAGAAGAATGAGAGTGTGGAGAAGAATGGGAATGAGAGTGTGGAGGAGATTGAGAGCGTGGAGAGTAGAAGTGCAGAGAGTGGGAGTGAGGAGGAGAGGGAGGGTGTGGAGGGCGGTGACGCAGTGGCAAACGAGGTGGTTGATGCAGTTTTGGTGCGAGACAATGGCAGGGAGGGCAGTGCTGTATGGAGTGCAGACAGGCAGGGAGAGATGGAGAGCAGAGGGAGAGAGGGAGAGGGGGAGGGGGATGATCAATCTGTGAGCGGGAGAGAAGAGGTGGAAGAGAGGGGGGAGGGGAAGGAGACAGAAGGAGCAGTGGGGGAAAGTGAAGTTGAGGCGAGAGAGAGAGGAGTGGTGGAGGAGAGAGGAGAGGTGGAGGAGATAGAAGCAGGGGTGAAGGAGGAGAAAGGAGAGATAGAGGCGAGAGAGTTGGAGGAGAGTGCAGAGGAAGTGAAGAAGACAGGGGAAGTTGGTAAAAGCGGAGGGAAGGAAGGGGAGAGTGAAAGTGGTGTAGAGAAGATGGAAGGAGAAGGAGAGATAGGGCAGAGAGATGGTGGGTCAAGTGATGGGGGAGAAAGAGACGGAGGAAGGGAGGGAGGAGGGGAGGGAGGAGGGGATGGAGGAGGGGAGGGAGGAGGGGAGGGAGGAGGGGAGGACACAGACACACAGAGAGGGGAAGGAGTAAGCGAAGAAGAGGTAGTGGAGAGAGGAGGGGAGGGGAGAGGTAGGATAGAGGAGAGAGAAGGAGAGGAACTGGACATCAGAGGGGAGCACGGTGGGATACGTGAAGGCGGAGAGGAGCGTGAAGTGGCTGCGGGAGAGATTGGAGCAAGTGGGATAAGAGAACTGGAGAAAACTGCAAGGGACCTCGGGTGCGAGACCCCTGGTGTGGGAGCGAGTGGTGGTGGCGGGATGCTGGTGGCGACACCGCAGGGAGAAGGAGAGGGAGAGGGCGAGGGAGAGGGAGAGGGAGAGGGAGAGGGGTTGACAGAAGCCCCAGGGGAGCAGCCACAGGGGAGTGCAGGCAACACAGGGGAGCAGGTCGGGCAGGTGGAGCAGCTAGCAGCAGCCACAGGGGCCTCAGGGGCGATATGGGCCACAGGGGATGCAGGGACAGCAGCAGCCACAGGGGCGACACTTGGCAGCAGCATTGGTGATGTGACGGCGGCGGCAGTAGAGACATCGGAGAGAGGGGTTGGTGGTGATGAGAGGGAGGAGAGGGATGCTTGGGATGGTGTGTGGGACGAGGGCGTGCAGTGGCAGCTGGGGGGGTGGGAGGAGGAGGGGGGTGAGGATGCCAGTGCAGCTGCAGTGCATGGTGACGTGGGTGTGGAGGAGTGGATGTTTGCAGGTAAACCACAGGCAGGAGGAGGAGGAAACGGAGGAGGCGGAGGTGGAGGGGGAGGAGTGGAAGTAGGAGCAATGCAACAGGGAGAGTGGCAAGCAGTGGGAGGTGAGGTGAGGGTCCCAGGGGAGAGTCAGGAAAGGTTCGAGGGTGAAGAGGAAATGGGAGTGCGGGGTGAGGATAGGCGGGGGGGAGTAACAGCTGGCCTCTATGGTGATGATCCTGATGGCTCTGGTGATGGGGTTGCTGATAGTGCTACTGGCGGTGCTGGTGCTGCTGCTGGTGCTACTGGTGCTGCTGCTGTTGCTGTTGCTGCTGCTCCTCCTGCCGTTGCTGTTGCTGTTGCTGCTGCTGCTGATAGTGAATGGGCCGACAAGGAGTTAAAGAATGAGGAGAGGGAGTTAGGAGATGGCAGTGGAAGGGGCAAAGAGAGGAGCGCGTGTAGTGCTGGTGCCAGTGATAGCGAGGCAGCAGCAGCAGGCGAGGTGGTAGAGCAAGCAGTGGTGGCGGGCGAGGGGGAGGACGGAATGGGAGTGGCGTTCAAGGAAGCAGGGGATGGTGCCGTGGAGCTATGGTGGTGGCAGGTGGATGGGTGGGATATGGGGGAGGAGCAGGTGGGAAGTCGGGAGTGAGTAGCCAATGGGTGGCGAGGAAGGGAGAGAACGAGGGGTCTTTGGGTAACTTGACTAACAGCTAACCAGTGCATGCTCTCGTTCGTGGCTTGCACTTCGGGTATAACGTGCAAATGGAAGGATGAAGCAAATGATTAGTTGAATTGGAAGAGTTAAATACTATCGGTACTTTAATCAAGAAGCTGAGAAGCGGGCGGATGCATTGAATGCCGCTTCGCAATTTTTGGGAACATTATTAGCGAATATGGCAAATGCATATTGCTTACTAGGTAGTTCAGGCTGGATGGGTGTAGACAGACCCATTTTATCTTCGTGTAACGTCGCTTGGACCACCCTTCTAACGCTGAGGGCGTGGTGCATCGGCTGAGGTGCATCCTTCCCCTGTCTTCTCACAGTTCCGCTGAGGGCGTGGTGCGTCGGCTCCGAATATGTCCGGTCTGACCCTGCTACTACGTTTGCGAAAATTCACGACAGCTCGCAAAGCACATGCGAGAAGATGGGTGGTCAGGGCGTCCGAACTGCGTTCGGTCAGGCCCGGACGCCCACGTCCGGATTACCGAGAGCAGGTTGGGCACAGTGCATCAGGCTGGCTGGACAACATCAACGAAAAAACCCTGGAGTTCGCGGGGCATGCACGAAACCAAACAGGGTCAGCGCACGTCACATCACGCAAACGAAACCCACAAATTCCTACACACTTGCTTTTGCACAAGCGTTCTTGGCTTACAAAGCTCCGCAAATTTCGTATGCGTCGCAGCTTGACCCGCTAGTCCGAACCAATCAAGTTACAGTTCGCGGTCTGACCACCTTTTTTGGTACACCTTTGACGTCGGCACTTTCAGAGTGTTCTGCATATTATACGATCCGGACTTTTGTGAAACCCCGTCCGGATTTCTGTCCGGATTTTTGGGCTTTCGAAATGGCTGCACCAAGCCCTAACTCTACTGTTCCTTTTTTTCTGGCACCACTTGTCCCCAACGAACTTCCTTCGAGACTCGAATCTCTGAGGGAGTTCGTCTGTTCATCCCCTACCCTAGAAATAGACCCTGGTCGGCATGGTCTAAAATCTAGTTACCAATTCTGAATCAAGTCAGCGAAATCCGAACCGACATCTCAGGCGTGTGACGCATGGACTAGCTAGCAAGCTTTACCTGCTAGCTAGCGTTCGTTCCGCCGCCATGAATCCGTCCAAGGCTGACGCCGCGCCGACGGGGCCCGCTCCCCCGGCGGGCGCAATGCTGCCGGCGCCCAGCCCCGCGCGCTCGCCAGGCACACCGCGCCGACGATCTCCGCCTCCGCCCGCCGCGGGTCAGCGGCAGGCGGGGAATCCCAGCAGCGCTTCTGGCGCGGGGAGCGGCAGTGCGGGGAACGGCGGCTCGCGCAACGTCAAACGGCCGTCGAGCAGCAGCGGGATTCCCGGCGCTGGCAGGTGCGGTGCGGTGCGGCGGTGTGCGTGTCTGTGTGTCGTGCCGCCGCGGCTCAGTGGAATGCGGCTGAACGGAATCTGGCTGAACTGAATTCGGCTGAACGGAATTCGTCTCATCGACTGGGCTATCTCGTCCACACAAGAACTAAGCAAACTCGTTCTCGCAGATTTTAGACTCTTAATTTCGAGCGCACCTGGACGTTTCCTCCCTCCCTCGAATCCCCACTGTCTCCTCGCATTACCCACCCGACCCTACCGTTGCCTTCTCAACCCTGTCGTATCCTCCTGTCGTTTCTCACCCCTTTCCCCCCTCCCCCACTCCCACTCCGCGCGCCTTCCTCCCCCCACTTTCCCCCCCCTCCCCCAACCCCTTCCTCCATTTTCCCCCCCTTCCCCCCCCGTCTCCCCTGTGGGGCAGGGAGCGCACGGTGCGGCGGCTGCGGCTGTCGAAGGCGCTGATCATAGCGGAGAGCACGGCGGTGGCGGAGGCGGCGCGGCGCATGGCGGCGCGGCGAGTGGACGCGTGCCTGCTGACGGACAGCAACGGGCTGCTGTGCGGGATCATGTCGGACCGGGTGGGTGGCGGCAGAGGGGGTGGGCGATGGCAGAGGGGGAAATTTGCAGACAGAGGACTGCGGAGACTGGGTGTTGTTGCAGTGCAGGTCGCTTAGGCTTGGGCTCTGAGGCGCCCAACACTGACTGCCTGACTGACTGCCTGACTCCTGACTGACTGCCTGCCTGACAGACTGACTGACAGACTGATGGACTGACTGACTGACAGACTGACTGACAGACTGATGGACTGACTGACTGACAGACTGACTGACAGACTGATGGACTGACTGACTGACTGACTGACTGATGGACTGATAGATAGGGGAATGGGATGGCAAAACGGCATGGGCATGGGCACTGGTTTCCTGATCGAACTGTGTGTTGAGTCCATCTGTTCACGGGCGTTCCTGTGTCGTCTGTTGTCTGCTTGGCATGAAACACGACCCATGAGCAATGGGGTATGGCATGTGGTATACTCTGTTGTTTCAAGATGATCGATAGGGTACGCTGTTCATGGGGCATGGGCATGCTGCTTGTTTGCTGCATGCTGCATATTGTATGATGCATGTGATATGGTGCACTGTTCATGGGGCATGGCATGTTGCATGTGGCATGCTGTACGGTGTATGTCGCCCGGTGCACGGTGCTTGATGCATGGTGCATGGTGCATGCCGCCCATCCACGCGCAGGACATTGCCCTGCGGTGCATAGGGGAGGGCCGGCGCGCAGACTCCACGCCATGCCACGTCATCATGACACGTCAGCCCCAGTTTGTGCGCATCAGCTCCTCCGCAACGGACGCCCTCAACAAGATGCTGCAAGGTGCGCGCGTGCAGGGGGAGGGAAGGCGGGCGGACGGGAGGCAGGGGCAAGGGGGGGAAGGGGGGAGGGAAGATCGGTGGCAGGGGGAAGGGGGAAAGGTGAGGGGAGAGGAAATCTGGTCGCAGGGGTTGGGGGAGGTGGGGGGGAGATCCAATTGCAAGAGGGCATTTTGGTCATAGTGGTGGTGTTTTAGTGAGGGGCATGAAACATCACGGAGGGGGACATGAGGTCATGGCTGGGTGGGAGTGTGGGAAGGTTAGGTCGGCCAGGTTCTGTTGTCTAGAACTGTAAGCTCGGTAAATCACTTTATCCTCACGCACCCACTCACTCGTCTCCCTTACTCCTCTCTCTCCCTCTCTCACTTGCACACCACGGCCCGCCCTTCAGGGGGCTTCCGGCACCTGCTGGTGGTGGCACGGAACGAGTTGGTGGCGATGCTGACTCTTGAGTCAGCTCAAAATCCATCCCATGCCCATGCCCATCCCACGCCCATCCCATGCCCATGCCCATCCCACGCCCATCCCATGCCCATGCCCATCCCACGCCCATCCCATGCCCATCCCATCCCACGCCCATCCCCACACCCATCTCACGCCCAAACTCCAGGGGGCTTCCGGCACCTGCCGGTGGTGGCGCGGGGCGAGGTGGTGGCGATGCTGGACGTGGCACGGTGCCTGTACGACGCCATTGCGCGTTCCGAGCTCCTCGCCGAGAGGGCCATGCACGGCCATGCGCTCGCTGCCGCCGCCGCCGCTGCGGAGGACGCCCAGGGGCAGCCAGGGGGGAGAGGCAGCGCTGGTGGGTGATGGGGTGTGGTAGATGGAGGGAGAGGAGGGGAGGGTGCAGGGTAGGGAAGGGAGTGCGTTGGGGGAGGGGAAGAGCTGGTCGCATAGTGAGCCATGCACGGCCATGCCCTTGCTGCCGCCGCCGCTGCTGAGGATGCACAGAGGCTGCCAGGGGGGAGAGGCAGCGCTGGTGGGTGATGGGGTGTGGGTGATGGGGTGTGGGTGATGGGGTGTGGGTGATGGGGCTTTTAAGAGACGAGCAGGTGGAGGGTAGGGGAAGGGAAGGTTGTGCGAGGTAGGGCAGCAGCAGGGAGAGTGGAGGGGCAGAGCAAAGGAGGATATGGGCATACGGGGTGGGAAGAGAACAGATAGGAGCTGTGACTGCAGAAAAAGGGAGGGTGGTGAGGGGGGTGGGGCAGAGTGGATGATTGGATGATGAGTGGTGGTGGAGGGAGGTGGAGCACAGGGTTGAGTTGAGAGAGCGAACCCATCCCGAGTTCGATTGGGATGCGGGTGGGTGGGTGGGGCTCTGCATCTTTCAATTCAATGCAATGCATCCTATCCCATCCCATCCCATCCCATCCCATCCCATCCCATCCCATCCCATCCCATCCCATCCCATCCCATCCCATCCCATCCCATCCCTTCCCATCCCATGCCATCCCATCCCTTCCCATCCCATCCCATCCCATCCCATCCCATCCCATCCCATCCCATCCCATCCCATCCCATCCCATCCCATCCCATCCATCCCATCCCATCCCATCCCATCCATCCATCCATCCCATCCCCATCCCATCCCATCCATCCCATCCCCATCCCATCCCATCCCATCCCATCCCATCCCATCCCATCCCATCCCATCCCTTCCCATCCCATGCCATCCTATCCCATCCCATCCCATCCCATCCATCCCATCCCATCCCATCCCATCCCATCCCATCCCATCCCATCCCATCCCATCCCATCCCATCCCATCCCCCATCCCATCCCATCCCATCCCATCCCATCCCCATCCCATCCCATTCCCTTCCCATCCCATCCCATCCCATCCCATCCCATCCCCATCCCATCCCATCCCATCCCATCCCATCCCATCCCATCCCATCCCATCCCATCCCATCCCATCCCATCCCATCCCATTCCCATCCCATCCCATCCCATCCCATCCCATCCCATCCCATCCCATCCCACCCATCCCATCCCATCCCATCCCATCCCATCCCATCCCATCCCATCCATCCCATCCCATCCCATCCCATCCCATCCCATCCCATCCCATCCCATCCCATCCCATCCCATCCCATCCCATCCATCCCATCCCATCCCATCCCATCCATCCCATCCCATCCATCCCATCCCATCCCATCCCATCCCATCCCATCCCATCCCATCCCATCCCATCCTCCCATCCCATGCCATCCCATGCCATGCCATGCCATGCCATGCCCATCCCATGCCCATCCCATGCCATCCCATCCCATCCCATCCATCCCATCCCATCCCATCCCATCCCATCCATCCCATCCCATCCCATCCCATCCCATCCCATCCCATCCCATCCATCCCATCCCATCCCATCCCATCCCATCCCATCCCATCCCATCCATCCCATCCCATCCCATCCCATCCCATCCCATCCCATCCATCCCATCCCATCCCATCCCATCCCATCCCATCCCATCCATCCCATCCCATCCCATCCCATCCATCCATCCCATCCCATCCCATATCCCATCCCATCCATCCCATCCCATCCCATCCATCCCATCCCATCCCATCCCATCCCATCCCATCCCATCCCCATTCCCATCCATCCCATCCCCATCCCATCCCATCCCATCCCATCCCATCCCATCCCATCCCATCCCATCCATCCCATCCCATCCCATCCCATCCCATCCATCCATCCCATCCCATCCATCCATCCCATCCCATCCCATCCATCCCATCCATCCCATCCCATCCATCCCATCCCATCCCATCCCATCCCTCCATCCCATCCCATCCCATCCCATCCCATCCATTCCATCCCATCCCATCCCATCCTTCCCATCCCATCCCATCCCATCCCATCCCATCCATCCATCCCATCCCATCCCATCCCATCCCATCCCATCCCCATCCCCATCCCCATCCATCCCATCCCATCCCATCCCATCCCATCCCATCCCATCCCCATCCCATCCCATCCCATCCCATCCCATCCCATCCCATCCCATCCCTTCCCATCCCATCCCATCCCATCCCTTCCCATCCCATCCCATCCCATCCATCCCATCCCATCCCATCCCATCCCATGCCATCCCATGCCATCCCATCCCATCCCATCCCATCCCTTCCCATCCCATCCCATCCCATCCCATCCCATCCCATCCCATCCCATCCCATCCATCCCATCCCATCCCATCCCATCCCATCCCATCCATCCCATCCCATCCCATCCATCCATCCCATCCCATCCCATCCATCCATCCCATCCCATCCCATCCCATCCCATCCCATCCCATCCATCCCATCCCCATCCCATCCCATCCCATCCCCATCCCATCCCATCCCATCCCATCCCATCCCATCCCATCCATCCATCCCATCCCATTCCCATCCCATCCCATCCCATCCCATCCCATCCCATGCCTTCCCATGCCATGCCATGCCATGCCATCCATGCCATGCCATGCCATGCCATGCCATCCCATCCCATCCATCCCATCCCATCCCATCCCATCCATCCCCATCCCATCCCATCCATTCCCATCCCTCCCATCCCATCCCATCCCATCCATCCCATCCCATCCCATCCCATCCCATCCCATCCCATCCCATCCCATCCCTCCCATCCCTTCCCATCCATCCCATCCCATCCCATCCCTTCCCCTCCCATCCCATCCCATCCCATCCCATCCCATCCCTCCCATCCCATCCCATCCCATCCCATCCCATCCCATCCCATCCCATCCCATCCCTTCCCATCCCATGCCATCCTATCCCATCCCTCCCATCCCTCCCATCCCATCCCATCCCATCCCATCCCATCCCATCCCATCCATCCCATCCCATCCCATCCCATCCCATCCCATCCCATCCCATCCCATCCCATCCCATCCCATGCCATCCCATCCCATCCCATCCCATCCCTTCCCATCCCATCCATCCCATCCCATCCCATCCCATCCCCACCATCCATCCCATCCCATCCCATCCCATCCCATCCCATCCCATCCCATCCCATCCATCCCATCCTCCATCCCATCCCATCCCATCCCATCCCATCCCATCCCATCCCATCCCAATCCCATCCCATCCCATCCCCATCCCATCCCATCCCATCCCATCCCATCCCATTCCCATCCCATCCCATCCCATCCCATCCCATCCCATCCCATCCCATCCATCCCATCCCATCCCATCCCATCCATCCCATCCCATCCCATCCCATCCCATCCCATCCCATCCCATCCCATCCCATCCCATCCCATCCCATCCATCCATGCCTTCCCATGCCATGCATGCCATGCCATCCCATGCCATGCCATGCCATGCCATGCCATCCCATCCCATCCCATCCCATCCCATCCCATCCCATCCCATCCCATCCCATCCCATCCCATCCATCCCTTCCATCCCATCCATCCCATCCCATCCCATCCCATCCCATCCATCCCATCCCATCCCATCCCATCCCTTCCCATCCCATCCCATCCATCCCATCCCATCCCTTCCCATCCCATCCCATCCCATCCCATCCCATCCCATCCCATCCCATCCACCCATCCCATCCCTTCCATCCCACCCCATCCCATCCCATCCCATCCCATCCCATCCCATCCCATCCCATCCCATCCATCATCCCATCCATCCCATCCCATCCCATCCATCCATCCCATCCCATCCATCCCATCCCATGCCTTCCCATGCCATGCCATGCCATGCCATCCCATGCCATGCCATGCCATGCCATGCACCATCCCATCCCATCCCATCCCATCCCATCCCATCCCATCCCATCCCATCCCATCCCATCCCATCCCATCCCTTCCCATCCCATCCCATCCCATCCATCCCAATCCCATCCCATCCCATCCCATCCCATCCCATCCTTCCCATCCCATCCCATCCCATCCCATCCCTCCCATCCCATCCCATCCCATCCCATCCCATCCATCCCATCCATCCCATCCCATCCCATCCCCATCCCATCCCATCCCTTCCCATCCCATGCCATCCTATCCCATCCCATCCCATCCCATCCCATCCCATCCCATCCCCATCCCATCCCATCCCATCCCATCCCATGCCATCCCATCCCATCCCATCCCATCCCATCCCATCCCATCATCCATCCCATCCATCCCATCCCATCCCATCCCATCCCATCCCATCCCATCCATCCATCCCATCCCATCCCATCCCATCCCATCCCATCCCATCCATCCCATCCCATCCCATCCCATCCCATCCCATGCCTTCCCATGCCATGCCATGCCATGCCATCCCATGCCATGCCATGCCATGCCATGCCATCCCATCCCATCCCATCCCATCCCATCCCATCCCATCCCATCCCATCCCATCCCATCCCATCCCATCCCATCCCTTCCCATCCCATCCCATCCCATCCCATCCCATCCCATCCCATCCCATCCCATCCCATCCCTTCCCATCCCATCCCATCCCATCCCATCCCATCCCATCCCATCCCATCCCATCCCATCCCTTCCCATCCCATACCATCCCATCCCACCCATCCCATCCCTTCCATCCCACCCATCCATCCCATCCCATCCCATCCCATCCCTTCCCATCCCATCCCATCCCATCCATCCCATCCCATCCCTTCCCATCCCATCCCATCCCATCCCATCCCATCCCATCCCATCCTTCCGCATCCCATCCCATCCCATCCCATCCCATCCCATCCCATCCCATCCCATCCCATCCCATCCATCCCATCCCATCCCAATCCCATCCCATCCCATCCCATCCATCCCATCCCATCCCTTCCCATCCCATGCCATCCTATCCCATCCCATCCCATGCCATCCATCCCATCCCATCCCATCCCATCCCATCCCATCCCATCCCATGCCATCCCATCCCATCCCATCCCATCCCATCCCATCCCATCCCATCCATCCCATCCCATGCATCCCATCCCATCCCATCCCATCCCTTCCCATCCCATCCCATCCCATCCCATCCCATCCCATCCCATCCCATCCCATCCCATCCATCCCATCCCATCCATCCCATCCCATCCCATCCCATCCCATCCCATCCCATCCCATCCATCCCATCCCATCCCATCCCAACCCATCCCATCCCATCCCATCCCATCCATCCCATCCCATCCCATCCATCCCATCCATCCCATCCCATCGCCTTCCCATGCCATGCCATGCCATGCCATCCCATGCCATGCCATGCCATGCCATGCCATCCATCCCATCCCATCCCATCCCATCCCATCCATCCCATCCCATCCCCATCCCATCCCATCCCATCCCATCCCATCCCTTCCCATCCCATCCCATCCCATCCCATCCCATCCCATCCCATCCCATCCCATCCCATCCCATCCCATCCCATCCCTTCCCATCCCATCCCATCCCATCCCATCCATCCCATCCCATCCCATCCCATCCCCATCCCATCCCTTCCCATCCCATACCATCCCATCCCACCATCCCATCCTTCCCATCCCACCCATCCCATCCATCCCATCCCATCCCATCCCTTCCCATCCCATCCCATCCCATCCCATCCCATCCCATCCCTTCCCATCCCATTCCCATCCCATCCCATCCCATCCCATCCCATCCATTCCCATCCCCATCCCATCCCATCCATCCCATCCCATCCCATCCCATCCCATCCCATCCATCCCATCCCATCCCATCCCATCCCATCCATCCCATCCCATCCCATCCCATCCCTTCCATCCCATGCCATCCTATCCCATCCCATCCCATCCCATCCCATTCCCATCCCATCCCATCCCATCCCATCCCATCCCATCCCATCCCATCCCATCCCATCCCATCCCATCCCATCCCATCCCATCCCATCCCATCCCATCCCATCCCATCCCATCCCATCCCATCCCATCCCATCCCATCCCTTCCCATCCCATCCCATCCCATCCCATCCCATCCCATCCCATCCCATCCCATCCCATCCCATCCCATCCCATCCCATCCCATCCCATCCCATCCCATCCCATCCCATCCCATCCCATCCCATCCCATCCCATCCCATCCCATCCCATCCCATCCCATCCCATCCCATCCCATCCCATCCCATCCCATCCCATCCCATCCCATGCCTTCCCATGCCATGCCATGCCATGCCATCCCATGCCATGCCATGCCATGCCATGCCATCCGATCCCATCCATCCCATCCCATCCCATCCCATCCCATCCATCCCATCCCATCCCATCCCATCCCATCCCTTCCATCCCATCCCATCCCATCCATCCCATCCCATCCCATCCCATCCCATCCCATCCATCCCATCCCTTCCCATCCCATCCATCCCATCCCATCCCATCCCATCCCATCCCATCCCTTCCCATCCCATCCCATTCCCATCCCATCCCATCCCATCCCATCCATCCCATCCCATCCCATCCCATCCCATCCCTTCCCATCCCATACCATCCCATCCCACCCCATCCCATCCCTTCCCATCCCACCCATCCCATCCCATCCCATCCCATCCCATCCCTTCCATCCCATCCCATCCCATCCCATCCCATCCCATCCCTTCCCATCCCATCCCATCCCATCCCATCCCATCCCATCCCATCCCTTCCCATCCCATCCCATCCCATCCCATCCCATCCCATCCCATCCCATCCCATCCCATCCCATCCCATCCCATCCCATCCCATCCCATCCCATCCCATCCCATCCCATCCCATCCCATCCCATCCCTTCCCATCCCATGCCATCCTATCCCATCCCATCCCATCCCATCCCATCCCATCCCATCCCATCCCATCCATCCCATCCCATCCCATGCCATCCCATCCCATCCCATCCCATCCACCCATCCCATCCCATCCCATCCCATCCCATCCCATCCCAGCCATCCCATCCCATCCCATCCCATCCCTTCCCATCCCATCCCATCCCATCCCATCCCATCCCATCCCATCCCATCCCATCCCATCCCATCCCATCCCATCCCATCCCATCCCATCCCATCCCATCCCATCCCATCCCCATCCCATCCCAACCCATCCCATCCCATCCCATCCCATCCCATCCCATCCCATCCCATCCCATCCCATCCCATCCCATCCCATCCCATCCCATCCCATCCCATCCCATCCCATCCCATCCCATCCCATCCCATCCCATCCCATCCCATCCCATCCCTTCCCATCCATACCATCCCATCCCACCCCATCCCATCCCTTCCCATCCCACCCCATCCCATCCCATCCCATCCCATCCCATCTTCTTCCCATCCCATCCCATCCCATCCCATCCCATCCTCCCATCCCATCCCATCCCATCCCATCCCATCCCATCCCATCCCTTCCCATCCCATCCCATCCCATCCCATCCCATCCCAATCCCATCCCATCCCATCCCATCCCATCCCATCCCATCCCATCCCATCCCATCCCATCCCATCCCTTCCCATCCCATGCCATCCTATCCCATCCCATCCCATCCCATCCCATCCCATCCCATCCCATCCCATCCCATCCATCCCATGCCATCCCATCCCATCCCCCATCCCATCCCATCCCATCCCATCCCATCCCATCCCATCCCATCCCATGCCATCCCCCATCCATCCCATCCCATCCCATCCCATCCCATCCATCCCATCCCATCCATCCCATCCCATCCCATCCCATCCCATCCCATCCATCCCATCCCATCCCATCCCATCCCATCCCATCCCATCCCATCCATCCCATCCCATCCCATCCCATCCCATCCCATCCCATCCATCCCATCCCATCCCATCCCATCCCATCCCATCCCCATCCCATCCCATCCCATCCCCATCCCATCCCATCCCATCCCATCCCATCCCATCCCATCCCATCCCATCCCATCCCATCCCATCCCATCCCATCCCATCCCATCCCATCCCATCCCATCCCATTCCCATCCCATCCCATCCCATCCCATCCCATTCCCATGCCCATGCCATCCCATGCCATCCCATGCCATGCCATGCCATGCCATCCCATCCATCCCATCCCATCCCATCCCATCCCATCCCATCCCATCCCATCCCATCCCATCCCATCCCATCCCATCCCATCCCATCCCATCCCATCCCATCCCATCCCATCCCATCCCATCCCATCCCATTCCCATCCCATCCCATCCCATCCCATCCCATCCATCCCTCCCATCCCATCCCATCCCATCCCATCCCATCCCATCCCATCCCATTCCCATCCCATCCCATCCCATCCATCCCATCCCATCCCATCCCATCCCATCCCATCCCACCCATCCCATCCCTCCATCCCATCCCATCCCATCCATCCCATCCCCCATCCCATCCCTCCATCCCATCCCATCCCATCCCATCATCCCATCCCATCCCATCCCATCCCATCCCATCCCTCCCATCCCATCCCATCCCATCCCATCCCATCCCATCCCATCCCATCCCATCCCATCCCATCCCATCCCATCCCATCCCATCCCATTCCCATCCCATCCCATCCCATCCCATCCCATCCCATCCCATCCCATCCATCCCATCCCATCCCATCCCATCCCATCCCATCCCATCCCATCCCATTCCATCCCATCCCATCCCATCCCATCCCATCCCATCCCATCCCCCATCCCATCCCCCATCCCATCCCTTCCCATCCCATCCCATCCATCCCATCCCATCCCATCCCATCCCATCCCATCCCATCCCATCCCATCCCATCCCATCCCATCCCATCCCATCCCATCCCATCCCATCCCATCCCATCCCATCCCATCCCATCCCATCCCATCCCATCCCATCCCCCATCCCATCCCATCCCATCCCATCCCACCCATCCCATCCCTTCCCATCCCACCCCATCCCATCCCATCCCATCCATCCCATCCCATCCCTTCCCATCCCATCCCATCCCATCCCATCCCATCCCATCCCATCCCATCCCATCCCATCCCATCCATCCCATCCCATCCCTTCCATCCCATCCCATCCCATCCCATCCCATCCCATCCCATCCCTCCCACCCCATCCCATCCCTTCCCATCCCACCCCATCCCATCCCATCCCATCCCATCCCATCCCATCCCCCATCCCATCCCATCCCATCCATCCCATCCCATCCCATCCCATCCCCATCCCATCCCATCCCATCCCATCCCATCCCATCCCATCCCATCCCATCCCATCCCATCCCATCCCATCCCATCCCATCCCATCCCATCCCATCCCATCCCATCCCCATCCCATCCCTTCCCATCCCATCCCATCCCATCCCACCCCATCCCATCCCTTCCCATCCCACCCCATCCCATCCCATCCCATCCCATCCCATCCCTTCCCATCCCATCCCATCCCATCCCATCCCATCCCATCCCTTCCCATGCCATGCCATGCCCCCTCATTCCCGCCCTCTTTTGTCTCACCTTGCATGCCTTCATGGTGCTTCGTTCCTGTTGTACCCTCATTCTCCTCTCTCCCCCCGGCCCATCCATCCACATCAACCATGCCGAACCTCTGCCTCACCCCTCTCACCCCACCCCGCCCTCGCACAGGGTTCCTGGGGTCACTGCGTGATAGGATAGCTCGGCCCACCCTTGCCACTCTCATAGGCGACGAGACAAGGTACGGTGCTGCTGCTGCTGGTGGTAATGGCGCTAGTGGTAGCCATGGTGCGGCACCCTCGTTCTGCCCTCACATTCCGCCGTACTGTCACACAGGGTTCCTGCGTGATAACTTATAAGATAGATCGATCCACCCTTGCGAGACTTGTAGGAGGCAAGGTAAGGTGGTGCTGGTGGCAATTATGATTTGTGTGGCCATGGTAGCCCGTAAGAATGGTAGCCTGTAGGCATTATAGCCTGTAACCATAATAGCCTGTAACCATTCTACCCTGTAACCATTTTAGCCTGTAAACAGTTTACCCTGTAACCACGAGTGCACCTGGTGGTGCCGTATCTTTCACCAAGATGGCTGAGGCTCTCACCTCAGGCTCAGCATACGTGCATGCACACCCTTCTGCTCCACCTGTCCCCATATCACCCCTCTCCTTGCACTCCCACTCCCCGGTCGGACCTGGACCTCCCCTCACCCCTCCCCTATCGCATGCTGCTGCCCTCCCTCCCACGCCCTCCCTCCCACGCCCTCCTTCCCACGCCCTCTCTTCCACACCCTTGCGTCCATGCCGCCTCTGCCTGCGCCCCGCCACACCAGTCCAGCAACCGTGGACCCCAACGCCACAGTGGCAGCAGCAGCTGCCACCATGCAGCGCCGGGGCGTCACCGCCGTCATTGTCATGCCTGCTGCACACCCACACTCCTCCTCCGCCGCCGCCGCCGCCGCCGCCACCACCACCACCAACCACAGCAACGGCGCTGCGACGAGTCCTGCTGCTGCTTCAGCCGCATCCCCAGCAGCAGCAGCAGCGGTGGCGCGTGCAGGGAGCAGTGGATCCGGAGGGGGGCACAGCCGTGCAGGCAGGCCCATGGGCATCCTGACGTGAGTCCGAAGGGAGGGGGGTTACGAAGGAACCGGCAGAGGTGTTTTTGGGAAGGAGGGGGGATACTGTACGCTCCGTTTCAGAGGCATGCTGGGAGTGAGGAAACGGAGTTTCTTGCTGCCGCCTCTGTTACTTCTCTCTTTGTCTCTGTTCCTCTCACTCACCTGCCACCTGTTTCATCGTTTCGAACCTTGCTTCTGCTCGCCAACTCACCTCGTGAGCTCAACTGTCCCATCGCCCCCCCCCCCCCCCCCCTGGGCCCCGCTCCCCATTGCGCTGGCTCCGAGGTCTCATGTCTCCTGCGTGCCCTTGTGGCCTCTATCCATGCCACCTTGCCCCTTCTCCTTCTCCTACTCCCCTTCTCCCCGACTCCCCTATCCCCTCTGCTCACCGCCCTTGCCCTCAGGTCCAAGGACATTCTGCTGCGGGTGCTAGTGACAGGGCTGGACCCCAACATTGTGCAGGTCAAGAAGGTGAGCCACACGCACGCACGCAGACATGTAGGCAGCCAGGTCGCTAGGTAGGCAGGTAGGTCGGTAGTTAGGCAGGTAGGCAGGTAGGCAGGTAGGCAGGTAGGCAGGCAGGTAGGCAGGTAGGCATGTAGGCAGTGAGGTCGGTAGGTAGGTAGGCAGGCAGGTAGGCAGGTAGGCAGGTAGGTAGGCAGGTAGGTAGGTAGGTAGGTAGGCAGGCAGGTAGGTAGGTAGGCAGGTAGGCAGGTAGGCAGGTAGGTAGGCAGGTAGGCAGGTAGGTAGGTAGGTAGGCAGGTAGGCAGGTAGGTAGGCATGGTGTGGTGCTGATAACTGTGTGGATATCTGCTGATAGCGAACGATAGCGCATGGATGTGCGTGCGTATCCAGGAAGACGGACATTTCCCTGCACACAAGCACAACATGGTCCACCACAGTCATGTGTGTGTGTGCCGTCATTCTCCTCCTCCCACTCCTCCCACGCGCGGACATACCTAAGCAGTGTAGGCACAGGCAGTGGCACAGGCAGAGGTAGAGGCAGAGGCAGAGGCAGAGGCAGAGGCTGAGGCTGACTGTGTGGAATGCTCACCTTTCCACTCAATTCCTGCCCTTTTCTGATCCGATCATCTCACTGGAATCTTGCCTCGCCCTCTCGTTACCCCCACCCGCCACCCTCTCGTCCCTTCTCCAGTGCATGCCAATGACCCATCGTACCCCGCATCCCACCTTTCTGCATGCGTGCCATTTGTGCCTGCATGCATTGATGCATGGGTGCATGGGTGCATGGGTGCATGGGTGCACGGATGCATTGATGCATGGGTGCATGGATGCATTGATGCATGGGTGCATGGGTGCGTGGGTGCATGTGCATGAGTACATGGATGCATGGGTGCATGCATGCATGGGTGCATGGGTGCATGGGTACATGGATGCATGGGTGCATGCGTGCATTGATGCATGGGTGCATGGTTGCATGGGGGCTTGGCTGCTTGGTTGCCTGGCGGCATGGCAGGCCATGACAGCGAACCCCGAGTGTGCGGGTTTGAGCACGCCAGTGGTGGAGGCGCTGCACCTCATGCACGACGGCCGCTTCCTGCACCTCCCTGTCGTCGACAAAGGTGCCTGCCCCGCACCCACGCACTCACACCCACGCACGCACACTCGCACTCACACCCACGCGCTCAAACCCACACACGTACACTCGCACTCACACCCCTGCCCTCACACAGGTACTCACACCTGCGCACTCACACCCATGCGACCACACTCGCACTCAGACTCCCACTCAGGCTTCCGCACTCACAGTCGCGCAATCTCACCAGCACTCGCACGCACACTTGCACCTGCTGCACTGCCTATTCAAGAAGCTCACATGTGGCTGGCTGTGTTGTCCCACATGCTTTCCAGAAGCATGCTTTTCAGTTTTGAGATGTCTCTAAGCTTTCACGTGCCTAAGTTTTCTAGACGTGCTTTGTCAGCGTAAGGGTATGCAAGCACCTGCGCACGCATGGGAGCGCATGGGAGTGCATGGGAGTGCATGGACTCGCATGGGAGCGCATGGGGGTGCATGGGAGTGCATGGGGGTGCATGGGAGTGCATGGGAGCGCATGGGGGTGCATGGGAGCGCATGGGAGCGGATGGGAGCGGATGGGAGCGGATGGGAGCACATGGGAGTGCATGGTAGTGCATGGGAGCGCATGGGAGCGCTTGGGAGCGCATGGGAGTGCATGGGAGCGCATAGGAGCGCATGGGGGCGCATGGGAGTGCATGGGGGTGCATGGGGATGTATGAAAGTGCATGGCGGTGTGTGGGAGTGCGTGGGAGTGCATGGGAGCGCATGGGAGCGCATGGGAGCGCATGGGGGTGCATGGGAGTGCATGGGAGTGCATGGGAGTGCATGGGAGTGCATGGGAGTGCATGGGAGTGCATGAGCATGTGCATTTACCTCCTTGTCCTTGCCTGAATATTCTTCTCATATGTCTGTCTCTCCGTCCTCCCCCTCTCCCTCCCTCTGCTTTTCCCCGTCCCCCCTCGCCTTCCTTCCACATGCCTTTCCTTTTCCTTCCATTTCCCCTATTTAAACCAACTGCGTTTATGTTTCCCGTTCACTTCTTCCCCCTTTCTTCATCCTCACGTTGTTCCTCCCCTGCGTCCTTCCCCCTTCCCGATTCCCTGTCCCCTCGTCTACCTTTTATTTCCCCCTCTTTTCTGCCCCAATGCGTGCATGCATGTGCGCGTCGTGTGTGCCATCAGACGGCAACTGTGTGGCATGTGTCGATGTCATTCACCTCATACAAGAGGCACTCTCCGCCCCAGTAAGCCTCACTTGCCATGCCTTGCCGTGCCACGCCCTGCCATCCCACGCCATGCCATGCCATGCCATGCCGTTCCATTCATCACTTCATGCCATCTGCGTATGCTGCATCAAGGCGAAGGGTAGAGTCCCAGAGGCATTGCAGCGCACAGTCCTTGTCCTCCCATCTCCCCTTCATCACCAACCGAGTGAACACCACTTGGGTGCCATAGGTCTTTACGTGGCAGCAACTTTGAAAACGCTGAAGTAAAATGAGTAGAGAGCTTGCTTGAAAAACTCGTGAAAATTTGATGGTAACCGGTTTCGGCTCGAGAGCCTTCTTCAGACCACAGAGAAATAAGCAAGCTAGCTAGCCTATAAATACCAATCTCGAGGACTCCTCGCGAGGCATTCCTCTGCGGGGTCTCGACGAGGCAAGGGAAAAGAAAGATAAAACAAACAGTACAGAATCTACTGTAGTTCTAACACTTATGAGCAGAAATTAAAAGATTCCCAGCTCTCTTCGGCAGCCTCCAAGCGAGAATGGTTCTTCTTGAAGCGAAAGTTCTGTCTGACATTGTAACGAGGTGACTTTTGAGTTGACTCAAAATGTTCCCCAAGCGCGAACAATCAACTAGAGGGTTGAGAAGAAGTTTCAGCACTAGGGGGCCACGGTTTGCAGAAGATTGAATTGAAGAGGCGCGTTGAAGAAGTTCCCCACAGTTAGCAAAAGAAACCGACTTAAACACCGGCAGTGAAATCTTTTCCGGGTACCCACGAGCTCTTAGGCGAGCAAAGAAAAGTGCGCGGAAATTGAACAAGTCAGCTTGTGAAGAGGAGCGCAGAAGAAATCTTCGTAGCTCACTCCGGATAAAACCCAGTTTCGTAGACCGAGTATGATAAGACTTGAATGGTAGGTAAAGGTACCGATTCATCGGCTTCTGAAACAGCTTCATGTCCAGAATGCCGGAGTCTTGAAACTTTTGTCCTTAGAACACTGTAAGGTCCTAAAATCCAGAGAAGTTTCTGAAATCACCCAGGTCAACCGAATTGAAGGATGAAGGGTGTCGAATTGTTGTTTCATGCAGTTGAAATCCTCCCTCGTTCCTTCCCACAACATCAAACCGTCGTCAATGAAGCGAAGGTGAAGAGCGGGAGAAGATTTGAGCAAAGCGTGCAGTTGAAGGTCCAGAACGCTTGCTCTGGAAGTCCTTAACGTATGTCGACTGCTTCAGAACGATAGGTGTGAGGACTGAGTCAAGCCAACATGAGGCATAAGTAGTGATCCAGGAATGGGAGGCCGCGATCGGCCAGCCAGCAGGGACTTTTTTGTGAATCTTCAGGAGCACGCAGAAGGCAGGAACTCTCCAACCATTAGTAGGCTTCGTGAAGAAAGAATCCCAGGCTCTAGCTGGTAAAAGCGGATGAAAATCCTCGCGAATCCCATGTAGATCTTTTAGAATATCTTTAACTGGGACAGAAGAAAACTCCTTGTAGACTCCGCCGTTGAGTAGGTGTTCGAAACATTCGTTTGATATTATTCCCTGCTCATAACGGTTAGACCCAGGTTCTTATCCGCCGGTTTAAAAATTAGATCTGGATTCTTCGCAAGACTTCGAAGCGTAGGTATGACATTCGTCGATTTCCGGGTGAGTGTTGAGAAATCCTGTTCAGCGTCTTCTTTTATACCTGCATCCTTAAAAATAGCCAGAGCCGTCTCGATTTCCGAGGAGGCTGGTGGAGGATTCCAGTTAGTTCGCCTGGGTAGCTTGTACCCTGAACGATCATAAAAAGAGTCAGCTCCATTAAACAGGTACATCGTACGAACACTGCGGAAGAAAGACCTGATTTCGGCTTCGAAGCTCTGGATGCTACGGATGACATGTACGGGTATATACTTCAATCCTTAACTAAGCAGATTCAGCTCGCGACGTGAGAAAGTATGATTACTGTGGTTGTGGATCCCGCGGTTGATGACTCGACACTGCAACTGGTACTCTGTCTGTCGACCAAGAGTATTAGTGCATACGCATGCACGTCTTCGGCTAGCGTCGAACAGTTTTTCCGCGGTCTCCACCTCCCCCGTTTTTTGCCGCATGATTGTTGCGATTGTCAGGGGTGCGCTGCGAAGTCTTCGCGTAAGACTTTCCCACCGCCTTCTCAGCATGCTTCTCAGGAGAAGTCTGCTTCTTGTTGTCCGTCGGCTTTGGCTTCTTGCCGTCGCGCTTGTTGTTGTTGCCATTCCTTCTGGACTTGAGATCAGCGACGGTGCTCTTCTTGATAGAAACCCCATTTTTGCGCTTCGGAGTATTCTTCTTCTTGGCACCTCGCTGGTTCTTGTTGTTGCCAGCAGTCGTCGAATCAGAACGCTGATTCAGAATCTTGGCCACTTCGTGGTGGGTAATCTCGCGAACGGAGGTATCCACCGGGTGGGCTTCAGCTTCAGCAGTCGCATCTGCCTTCTTTGCGTCAAGATCTTCCTTTTTCTGCTTCAACACAGTTTCAGCCGTATTAGTGTCCAAGTAAAACATCGAAATCGAATTCTGATACTCCAGAATCACGCGACTCTTGAAAAAATCCAAGTTGTCGAAAAGCTTAGGATGCTTGATTCCAAGGTCCGTCTTCTTGTTAAGATTGATAAAATGGTCATGATGGTTCTGCAGCGACTGAAGAACAGCAGTAGCCTCGCCGTAAGCTTGGTCAGCAGCCTTTTTCTTCATCGTGGTCAGAATTTCTTGAGCATTCTGACAATACTTCAATCGAGCGGCTTCGAGGTCCTTGTCGGCTTCGAGGTGAAGATCTTCGTTATTGCAGACAAATTGAACGGCTTGATCCGAATAGAATGCGGAATAATGCCATTTTTCTTCTGATCTTCCATGAAGGCGTGCTGCTGCATCAGGGTCCGATACTTGAGAAAATGCTTCTTGAAATCGGAAACATCCTGATTCTTGAGAAGGTTAAACTGAGCAGGAGTTGCATGCTTGTTAAGAAAATCGTCGTTAAAAGCACCAAGAAAATCCAAGGTGTCCGAAATAAAAGTGTCGCGAGGAATAGGAATATCCTCGAGTCCTTGAACTGCTTCCTGCCGAGGAGCCTGATTGGAGCTAGGCAAAGCCATTGTCACAGGAGTAACTCCGGGAGTGTCGATAGTCGTAGCAAGAGTAGCCTCGGAATATTCTCGAGCATGCTTCTTGTTATGACGGGAAGCGGAAGGAGAAATGGGCATCTCCTCCTCTGAAACGACCACGTCTTTATCCCTGCGAGTAGCCTGTTTGAGATTCGCAATGCGGTGCGAATTTCTCGTACGCCTCAGGGGTGCCGGAGCGCGGTCAGTCTTGGTGCTGGTTGGTGTTGTTTTGGTAGCGTTGAATTTGTAGTTGGCCATCGTAGGATCGAGAGTAATTCCGAGTGAACACCACTTGGGTGCCATAGGTCTTTATGCGGCAGCAACTTTGAAAACGCTTAAGTAAAATGAGTACAGAGCTTGCTTGAGAAACTCTTGTGAAAATTTGATGGTAACCGGTTTCGGCTCAAGAGCCTTCCTTCAGACCACAGAGAAATAAGCAATCTAGCTAGCCTATAAATACCGATCTCGAGGACTCCTCGCGAGGCATTCCTCTGCGGGGTCTCGACGAGGCAAGGGAAAAGAAAGATAAAACAAACAGTACAGAATCTACAGTAGTTCTAACACTTATGAGCAGAAATTAGAAGATTTCCAGCTGTCTTCGGCAGCCTCCTAGCGAGAATGGTTCTTCTTGAAGCGAAAGTTCCGTGTGACATTGTAACGAGGTGGCTTTTGAGTGGACTCAGAAGGCACTGCAGCGCACAGTCCTTGTCCTCCCATCTCCCCTTCATCACCAACCTCTTACCTCACAATGCCTCCTAAACCCTTCCAACCCAACGTACACCATGTATAAAACCATTGCTGCTAACTCCTTGTCGCGGTTAAACCCCCCCCCCCTCTCCCTCCCCCCCTCCCCCCCCGTTGCCGTTAACCCCCCGGTTGCCGTTGACCGGCTCGTTGCCGTTGACTCCCCGTTTCCACGGACCATGGCCCAAGATCCCATGCCCTATTTTTCGTTTCCCCACTGGCCCATGCAGCAGTGCATGCCAGCAGCGGGGGAGGGCAGCAGCAGCAGTGGCGGCGGCGGCAAGAACGAGGCGCTGAGTGCTCTGATGCAACGGTTCTGGGACTCTGCCCTGCGCCTGGACGCCTCCACAGGGGATGACGCCTCCAGGTGGGTCGGGGTGGGTGGAGACGGGGTGGCGGGGAGAGGCAGAGGGGCAGTGTGGGCTCTGCCCAGAAGCACGTACGCGCCTGCGCACGTGCTGCTGGGACTCTGCCCTGCGCCTGGACGCCTCCACAGGGGATGACGCCTTCAGGTGGGAGAGGGGCAGACGGGGTGGTGGGGAGTGGAGAGGGGGAGTGTGGTGTGAGGAGGATGGTGGTTCACAGACGGTGGTTGCAGAAGGCACGACATGGGGAAGTGGTGATTGGTGAAGCCGCATCCATGCATGTGGGCGGCCGGCCACGCACGCACGCACACACACGCCACTGACATGTATCCACATCCACTCTCAAGTCCTCCCACATCAGCGTCCCCTCCCTCATTTACTCCTCTGCGCTGCTCCCTTCTCCATCCTGTCGTTCACGGTAGTCCGTACCAACTTCTTCAACCACCACCCCGTGCATACCAACTCCCTGGTCTCTCCCATTTCTCGCTTCGCTCAAAACTTGACTTCACCTTCCCCTTGCCTCGTCTTTCCCGTGACCCCCCATGGCCCCCACGCCCCCCAGCAGTGTGCGCAGCATTGATTTCTGGGACGCGTCTCGAGCTGCCTCTGTGTCGTCCATGCCCTCCTCGCGCCTGCCCACCACTGCTCGCGCTCCACCTCTCCTCGCCACCACACCTGCTCCAGCGGCAGGAGCAGGAGGAGCAGGGAGAGCAGGGGGAGTAGGGGGAGCAGGGGGGGCAGGGGGGGCAGCAGCAGCAACAGGAGGAAGAGGGGCCGACGCAGGGGGAGGCCAGACAACACCAGGAACAACGCCCTCTCCTGTCGTTCCTTCAGCACCAAGCCGCACCACCATCCTCCCCACCGCTGCTTCTCCCTCTGCTGCTCCATCTGCTACTTCCACAGCTTCCTCAGCAGCAGCACCAACCCATGCCTCTCCCCTGCACTCCCTCCCTCCTCCCCACCCCCCTTCGCGTCCCCTCTCCGATATAACCGAGGGGAAGGCGGTGTCTGGCACAGGCGGGATCGTGGGTGTGGGAAGTGGGTCAGGAGGAGAGGGAGGCGCGGGGTTCGGTGCAGGGGGCATGGTGCCGGGGGGGCTGGGGGGGCTGGGAGGGTTGGGAGGGCTGGGAGACATGCGATTTGCTTTCAAGATGGAGGACCGGAGAGGGCGCGTGCACCGATTTACTGCTGGTCAGTTCCAACAGACAAAGGTTTGAACTTTCATATGGGATCAGTCGCACGAACACTTGTGATGTCTTGTCTACCACGATCTTGATTTTACACTCGCTCTTCTCGTAAGTTGTCTTTCCCTATCCCTCTCCCGCTTCTCTCCTCGTCCATGCGCCCTTTTTTGGCTCGGCCACCCCCCGTCCATCCATCCATCCATCCAGCCGTCCGTCACGCACCCACCCACCCACCCACCCACCCACCCATCCACCCATCTCCGCGCATCTCTCCTCTCCACGTGTGCATCAGGGCAGCAGAGTGCGATGGATCTCATCTTTGCCGTGGCTTCTCATTCATCCTCGCTCAGCTGTCCTTTACCCCCACCCCCTACCCCACCCCCTACCCCTGCCCCTCCCCTCCCCCTCCCCCTCCCCCTCCCCCTCCCCCTCCCCTCCCCCTCCCCCTCCCCCTCCCCCTCCCCTCCCCCTCCCCCTCCCCCTCCCCCTCCCCCCCCCTCCCCCTCCCCTCCCCCTCCCCCTCCCCCTCCCCCTTCCCCTCCCCTGCCCCCTCCTCCTCCTCTCCTGCCCCCCCCACGCTTTTGGTGTCACTGTGCATGGACTCCACGTGGTGCATGCATGCGTGCATCAGGGCGGGAAGAGTGTGACGGAGCCCATCTGTGTTTTTTTTTTTTTTTTTTTTTTTTTTTTTTTGGGCTTTAAGGAGATCCCAGGAGGAAACCAGGCCCCCTTTCCCACGCCGACCCATCTGTGCTGTGGCATCTCCGTCATCCTCCCTCCGCTGCCCTCTCCCCCTCCCTTCCCCCCTCCCCCCCCTCCTCCTCCGCCGATCTCCCTCTGCTGCATGCGTGCATCAGGGCGGGAGAGTGTGACGGAGCTCATCTGTGCCGTGGCGTCTCGCCTTGGTCCCGACTACGACCCTAACAACCCGCCTGCTGTCATGGTTCGTGTGTGCCCTGTGCTGTCATGGTTCGTGTGTGCCCTGTGCTGTCATGGTTCGTGTGTGCCCTGTGCTGTCATGGTGGGTGCACCCCCTGTTGCCACGGTGCGTGGCCCCCCTGTATACTTTCTTGAGCGTTCAATCCGTGCCATGGCCCCATGCATACCCGCTCCTGCACATGCAGCATGCTGTGCCGCACATGGTCTTGCGCTTACCCTTCCTCCTCCTCAAACTCTTCCTCTATATCCGTCTCCCCCTTCCCTCTCCCCCTCACCTCGCGATCCCCTTCCTCCCCACTCCTTGTCTCTCCCTCCTCCGCGGGCCCCACCCCTTGGCATGCCGCACCCCGGCGTGTTCCCCCGGGGGCAGTACGAGGACGAGGAGGGCGACAAGGTGGTGCTGTCCACGGACGAGGACCTGCAGGCAGCCGTCACCTTTGCACTCGCCTCCAACTGCAAGGTGCTGCTGAGGGGGTTGCGGCTGGGGGGGGAGATGCTGGGGTGGCTGGACCAGCACAGAAGTGAGTGCTGTTAGTAACAGACGCATGGTTTAAGATGACGTCTGTTACCTACAGCATGGGTAGGATTTGAATGCGTGCATCGGGGTTTCGGATTTGTTAACTGAGGCGATGAGAGAACGTGCGAGTCGGGCGTGCGCAGGCTCATGAGCTTGTGAATTGACACGTGGCGCTGAACGCCGAGGAAAGAGGAAGTATAGGTACGAACTGGTTGCTCATTCTTCCAGCTAAAAATCACATATTGCATTTTCCTCCTATGCGGCCCGCTCACCCTGAGGAACATAACAATGTAACGACCTGCTTCTCCGGTACGTATCAGCACAAAGGGTGTGGTTTCTTCCCCTGTCCTCTCTCCAGTCCCATCCCATGTCACCTCGTCTCCTCACACCCTGCACCTCTCCTTCCATCCCACCTCCCCTTCCTCCCCCCCCTGTGGCACCCCGTCCAGGGCATCAAGCTCCACCTGGACTTCTCAGAGCCTCAGCTGCCACCTCAACAGCCAAGCCCCATGCATCCCCAGCAGCAGCAGCAGCAGCAGTACCATCCCTACCCATATCCCAATGGCCCCCCAGCCTCCGTGCCACAGCCGCCCTTCACAGCCTATGCATACCCTGCCATGCCTGCCAATGGCGGCCCTGCTAGCATGGGCGTCCAAACCGCCCAACCTCCTCACCTCTTCCACTTTCAGCAGCATCAACAACACCCACCGCCGCCGCCGCTGCCTCAGCAGCAGCAGCAGGAACAAGTGCAGAGTTTGGTCTTTCTCCAACAATACATTCCTCCACACGTGCACAGCCCAGAGCACCTACACCGCCAGCAGCAGCATCAGCAGACAGGGTCCCTCCCGCTGGCTCGCAGCCCTGCGCCAACTGCATCTGACGGCGGGCTCCCTCCCCTCCCTCACTCTCCTGTCTTCCTCCGCCGAGCTGGCATTCCCACCCGGCCCCCACTGCCTGCAGCAGCAACAACAGCAGCGGCAGTAGCAACAGCAACAGCATTTGCGTCCAGTGGTTCCGCTGCGACTCCTGGCGTGGCTGCGCCGATCCGTGTGCCATACGCTGCCATACAGGCGGCCATGGCTTCACCTGCCGCTGCCCATTCTCCCTCCATCCCTGTCAGAGTTGCCACTGCCACATCTGCTCACTCCACTGCTGCTCCTGCTGCTGCTGCTGCCGCAGCAACGGCACCGGCAGCACCGGTGTCCAATGCTCATGGGTCCACCTCCCACGCCTCTGCCAATGCTGCTCCTTCCCCTGCACCAGCTGCTGCTGCTTCTTCTCCAGCAGCAGCAGCAGCGGCAGCCACTATCCGAGCGGCGGGTTCCTCTGTATCCAGCAGGCGCCACGGGTTTCCTGTTCGAGGAGACGCCCCTGCGCCCACTGCAGACACTAAGCCATGGCAATCCAAGAAGGCTGATGCTGAGTCTCCTGCTGCTGTTGCTGCTGCTTCTTCCTCTGCGCCAAGTGTGTCTCGGTCGCGTTACTCGTCTGCTTATTGGGATTCGTCCACGGCTTGGGCCTATGCTGGAGGTGCCACCACTGTGGTTGCTGCGGTTGCTGTTGTAGTGGCAGCTGCAGTGATTGCACGAGGTGGACGAGTCTAGGTGGGCCTTGGGCGCATGTACCCTTCAAGAAAGTGTGTGTGCCATTGAGGGTTTTGTGGGGGTTTGCAGGCCAATTGTGGCGCCTTGAAATCTTGCATCTTGCAATACGGGCTTCGAGCATGGAAGTGCGTTAGGCTACCTCTTCACGTGGGTTCCATTTTCTGCTTTCAGGTTCTTGAAGAAGCAGCCATGAGCAGGAAACTTTTTCAGCTTATCATATTGCACATTTTGAGGTACGGTGAAACAATACTATACTTCGTGTTATGTATCAGAATTGAAGAAGTGAATAGAAGGAAAGAGTCAGGGCCTCAGATTCGTTTAGAGGCACCCTGATAGCTCAGGGTCCCCCCACCTTGGTCTCCTGATTTTTCAGGCCTCCAAAAAAAATTCCCTGATCCCTCAGGGTCCCTAATTTTTTTCACGCTGAGTAAACATGATTATACACAGAAAGCACGCTCTGTAATATATGCCTAGTATTACGTGGTAGCAAGGTTCTCAATGGCAGCAGGCGCAGAGGGACCAAGGCTAGGTTTGGGCTCTGAAAGTACAACCGCGTCGGAGATAAAAATGGACGGTCGCATTCAAGTCGGCATCTGCTATTAAACGAATCTGGACAAACAGGGCTCACTATCTTAGAAACTTAGGACTCAAGGTTCTTAAACTTAGGAGGCTAGGTTGGCTAGGATACTAGGAAGAAGGCCGCCATGGAATGGCGTGAGGAAAACGGATCTAGGAAGGGAGAGGATGGCGAGAAGAAAGGTGTTTGATTAGGAAGAGAGAGGAGTACAAGAAGGGGTTTGTACCCTCTACAGAAAGGTTCAGTAACAACCTATCAAGCCTATATTAAATTATAACTTATATAATTTTAACACACCCCCTAGGCTTGGTAGTCGCACACCCACCCAACCCACCCCCTAACCCCGCACACCCTCAAGCTCGTGCTTAGCCGGGTATCTGACCCTCGTGCAAAGCGTTGACACACCCCTGTACACGAGGCAGCCTACGGCGTCTGGGCGGGTCAACGTCAAGCAGCAGCGGAGCTCTGGCTCAAGGCGGCTGGGTCGCTGACGACAGGCGGCGACTGCCGCGGCTGAGGGCTCTCGGCGGTGTGGCAACGTTCGGGCAGAAGACAGCAGCTGCGACAGGAGGAAGGGAAGACGCAGGGGGAAGGGAGAATGGGGGAAAGTGGGGCGAGTCTTCAGCAACGCGCCATAAATGGCGCGGCGCTTACTGGCTGGAGGACGGCGTCCAGAGAGACGCCCGTGGCTGGCGAGCGGGCGGCAGGTCCGGCTGCGTCACAGACATCGCTCTGCCGGCCGCAGTCCGACGATGCCAGCGGCTGCCCTAGACGCCGCCACAACGCACCGTCAATGTCGCAGCGGCGAGGCGGACGGGCGACGGCTGCACCAAGGGGCCGTCGCGACACCTTGGCGCCGCGACGGCAGGCAACAATGAGCCGTCGCGACATCTTGGTGCCGCGACGGCAGGCAACAAGGGGCCGTCGCGACAGCTTGGTGCCGCGACGGCAGGCAACAAGGGGCCGTCGCGACAGCTTGGTGCCGCGACGGCAGGCAACAAGGGGCCGTCGCGACAGCTTGGTGCCGCGACGGCAGGCAGGCAGAAAACCGCGAAGGCTGCGAATGCAGCAGGATTACGCAACGGGAACGTAGGGAGAGGGTCCGGTGGACACGATCGGCTCTGATACCATCTTAGAAACTTAGGACTCAAGGTTCTTAAACTTAGGAGGCTAGGTTGGCTAGGATACTAGGAAGAAGGCCGCCATGGAATGGCTGGAGGAAAACGGATCTAGGAAGGGAGAGGATGGCGAGAAGAAAGGTGTTTGATTAGGAAGAGAGAGGAGTACAAGAAGGGGTTTGTACCCTCTACAGAAAGGTTCGGTAACAACCTACCAAGCCTATATTAAATTATAACTTATATAATTTTAACACACTACACTAGTAACGTTGATCGATCAGAGTTCACTACCGTATTCTCCCGGATACAGTACCCGCCGGAATTAAGCTCCCATGGGTGGCTTGAGCGGGTATGGGTGTTTAATTAAACTGGATCTAGTTATCAGAATAATTGAATGATAGTAAAGTGAGAGTACACACAAATATATCTAAGTTTTGTATCCTCTAAGAGGTGACTCTATACAGTCTATACAAACATGACAAATACACATGTTTGACACACCCCCTAGACTGCATAGGGGAATACCCTAAACAAGCAGCTCAGGGCGGCACTACTAGTCCAACCTCTGAGGCAAGGGTCTGAGCGACCGGTCAGAAGGAGTACACACAAGGCAAGCACAAGAGCAGGGCGGCACTACTAGTCCAGCCACTGGGAGAGGACACAAGTCCAGTCTGAGTATACATATAAAGGACAGTACAAAGTCAAGGTCCTAGCAAGTGAGAGGCTACAGGAACTAGACCAAGCTGTACACAGTGCCGCTGATGATCTTTAGGCGCAAGCGCCTTCGTAAAGATATCAGCCGTGTTGGCACCTGAGGCCAAGTGTACTACGCGAGCCTGACGTCGCTGCTGTAGCTCACGCAGGAGGAAGTACCGCAGCTGAATGTGCTTCGCTCTGCCCTCGAGTCGAGGCTCCTGGCACAGGAGGATCATGGCCCTGTTGTCAGCGAACAGGACCGGGGCAGAGCTAGGCCGCTCACCTAAGTCAGTGAGCAAGAAGGTCAGCCAGCGGAGCTCCTGTGCCGCCATGGCACCAGCGTAGATCTCAGCCCCACAGCTGGAGTGCGCAACAGACGAGGAGCGGGTAGCTCTCCACGAGACGGCACCTGAGCCAAGGCTGAAGCAGTAGCCCTGGGTAGACCGGAGTGTCTCAGCGTCGTCTACCCACGAAGCGTCTGTGTGTCCAGTAAGGACCACTGGCCTGCGTCCTCCTAGCACTAACCCCATGCCCGATGTACTAGCAAGATAACGCAGAACCCTCTTAGCGGCAGACCAGTGCTGCGGTCGGTGTCTGCCTGTGGCCACAAAGCGAGCCAGGATGCTGAGAGGGTATGCGAGATCTGGGCGAGTGCAAGTCATCAGGTACATGAGGCAACCCACTAGCTCTGTGTAGGGGCCGCTGGGCTCTACCAACTCCTCAGGCACTGGAGCGGAGAGCCTGTGGTCTACAGGCAGAGGGGTGGGCTGTGCAGAGGAGAACTGAAGGCTGAACCTCTGAAGGACCTGGCGCACCAAGTGTGACTGAGTCAGGGTGATGGTGCGCGCACCTCTGTCCCTGGAGATCTGCAAGCCAAGGTAACGGCGCAGTTCTCCAAGGTCAGTGCACGTGTGTCTCTTCAGCAGCTCTGCCTTCACGGAGGCCAGCGCGTCCCTGTCTGCTGTGGCAAAGACCAGGTCGTCGACGTAAACGAGGATGTAGAACGGAGTCTGGCCAGCACGAACGAAGAGTGAAGGGTCTGCAGAAGACGGAAAGAACTGCAGGTCAGCAAGCGTAGCACGCAGAGTGTCGTGCCACTCACGGGGAGCCTGGCGCAGGCCGTAGACGGGGCGCCGCAGGAGCCACTGGGTCCCAGGAGGGAAGGTGCGAGTAAAGCCCGGAGGGCGGCGCAGGTAGACCTGCTCGTGTAGGCTGCCCTGAAGGAAGGCAGTGGAGAAGTCGAGGGAGTGAAGCTCGTAGTCACGCTGAGCAGCTAGGTGTAACAGAACCCGAAGAGTAGTCATCTTCGGGGTCGGAGCGAAAGTCTGGAAGAAGTCCACCCCCTCGCGCTGACTGAAGCCTCTAGCCACATAGCGCGCCTTGAAGACAGGCGGCTCTCCAGGAGGGCGCTTCACCTTGAAGAGCCAGCGGCCATCGACTACGTTCACCCCAGGTGGGGGAACTGCGTCGACGAAGGTGCCGGTGGATCTCCAAGATGCCATCTCCTACTCCATGGCAGCTATCCACTGCGAGGCCCAAGGTCCCGAGGTCGCCTCAGCGTAAGTGCGAGGGGTCGGGATGTCGAAAGCGTCTGGGTCACCCTCAGGGATCAGCAGCATGGAACAGAGATGGGGAGCAGCCTCGGAGAGGAAAGCAAGCTCGAACTGGCGGTCCTCCAGGACGTCACTGCCAAGGGCAGGAGCACCCCCGACAGACGGAGGACAGGCAGGGTCAGAGACCAGAGCGGTGGCGTAGTCAAGGCGGCGGGTAGAGGCGAAGTCAGCGACAGCAGCGACAAGAGCGTCAAGGCACGAGTCTGGAACAGACGGGTTGGTAACGAGAGAGGCAAGGACCCGAGGAACGAGAGGACGAGCGGCACGAAGGTAGTCGGACAGCGGGGGGGGCGCAACAACAAGGGAGGACGGAGGAGGCGACGACAGAAGGGGAGGACGAGACGCGTGTGAACGAAGCAACATAGGGTGGGAGCGCAGGACAGGCGAGGCAGGACGAGCACGGGAGGGACGGTGAGACCAGACGTGCGATGGAGGAGTCGGGTCAGGAGACAGGGGAGGGGACACAGGAGGGGAACGAGGGGGGAGACGGGCCGGGGACGAGTCCGGCGGAGGGAAAACAGCGCCGTAGACAGGAAGAGGAGGAGACGGTCGGGGAGGAACCGACGCAGGGTCGGGGGACGGAAGGCCGAGCAGGCGAAGGGCGGACACCTGCGGGGACTGCTGCTGCGGCGGCACAACGGCGACACCGGGACCGCAAGCTGCTCCTCGGCTACCACCGGCACTCTCCACACCCGCACCCCCAGAGGGACCACCCTCAGGGCGACCGGGACGAGCACCCCCAGAGTCAGCGAACGGGGGCTGCGACTGCGGCGGCGGCGGCGGCAGCGGCGACGGCGACGGCTGCAGTGGCGGCAGGGACGGCGGAGGAGGGGACTAGGGAGGGGGCACCTAGGGAGGGGCGGCCGGCGAGGACTGCACCGGAGGGCCACCAGAGTCAGAAGACTCCTCAACCGGGTCCACGGACGGAAGGGGGGTGACGTGGGAGACACCAGAGGGGGCGGGACGGGGAGGAGGAGGAGGAGGGGCAGGGACTACCGGGGAAGGGGTGACCAGGAACAGGGGGGGGTAACCGGGGGACCACGGTGGGGGAAGCGGCGGTAGTAGGAGACGGACTCGTCAAAGGTGACGTCACGAGAGTGAAAGAAGCGGTGAGACGGCGGGTGGTAAAAGTGCCAGTCGGACGCGTCAAGGGGAAAACCGAGGAAGACGAAGGGAAGGGTGCGGGCAGTGAGCTTGTCCGTGCCAGAGGCACGGACGTGAGCAAGGCAGCCCCAGACGTGGAACGCAGACGCGTCACCAGGAGACCCAGTCCACAGACGGGTCGGCGAAACCTGCGGCTG